CAAGGGCCAATAATAATACCTCGTAAAGGAAAAATAATCTTCTGTGCTGTGTTCTTTCATCTGGTCACAGGCCAACTTCTTGCATCCGAATCAAAATCATGACTCAATGTTAGCAAAACCACTATACTTAGAATCTTGTATTACAAAAAGAAGTTTCTATATAAGGTACATGAACCCATGAACAGCTGCATCTTTGCCACGAGCTGTTGCATGTAGAATAAGAGCATGAATGAAGGTATCCTAAGAAACCATGAAAACAAAGCCAGCTTTACTTCTGCTTTACATTTTCTGGAGTAATATGGTAGGGTGTAAACTCCAAGTTGGCTACAAGCTAACAGAGCGCAAAAAGCAAACAGATTTGTTCTATATCGTGATTAAATATACAGGCATACAACCAAGAGAGCCATACAAAATGCCCCACGAGAGAGAGAGAGAGAGAGAGAGGCTTGCTCCTATTCTTCATTGTAGATTTCAGTCTTGATTCCTATTGGTTTCAAACTGAATGCACGAGAATGCACTAAACCTAAGGGGAGGATGCGGATCTTTCAAGTGTCGAATATGTTGACTATCAGAACCCCACTTGCATGAAACTCAAACCATCCCTGATCCACTGGAGAAGAATAATTAACTGGCTTAGACTCTTAGTCGGAGCGTGGCAACAAGAACATGAAACCTGAGTTCTCCCGAATGAGTGGAGGGGGTTCGATATCAGATATATCAATTGGTTCCATCGACTTTGATATGTCATCAACTGAAAATGGTATGCTGCATATTCAACAGGGTAGAATGAGCAGATGGAGTAATAATAATTGAAGATCATAAAGCGATGGGCACTTTGCTTTTTTTTCTTTTGAAGCATAAATTAAGCTAACATGTTATGGAGTAAACATAATGTTTTACCTCGAGTCATCATCCAATAAGAATGAATTGCTCACTGGATTGTTCGAATCTTCAGTCATCAGCACCCTCATATTCGATATAACCTAATGAATTGTCACAACTTATGGTCATAGCTTGAACCATTTCTTATGAATGAATCCATCATGAATTTTTACCTCAGGGGACACACTATGTGTACCATATTTGTCATCCCAGTACATTGTACTTATCCGATATAACTGTTGCACACTAAGTACCTGCAAATGTAGGAAGTTTGCTGGATTATCAATAAGACATCAGGGAGAAAGGTTTGAGGAAATATCAGAAACTTTCACTCACTGGACAAAGGTCATGGCTAATTTCGTCCAAGGTCTTCTTTGGCTTTTGGTGGATCACCTGAATATGCCATAGTTCATGTCATCAGTTTTAACTTTAAACTCTCAAATTGGAAAGAGGTACTTCGGTTTGTTGTCAACCTTTAACACAGTTTTCAATCTATTTACAAGGTGGACAAAAAACAAGGTGCATTGTTATGTGTTAAGGTTCTAGAATAACCTGCTAACCTGGTCAACTTAAGATGCACAACCTCTACTGAATAGTCTATGAATACAAGAATATTTAACTAGTCAAAAAATTCACAAAGAAGCTGGGGTAGGCCAATATTTATATTGGCCACTCTGGTCAAATTAGGCATACAAACTTCCTCTAAAATAAGGATTATGTTGTGGATGATGAAGCAGCTGTCCTGGTTCTTCAATGTGACATACACTATAAGAAAATGAAGAGGACAATCATTACCAGGAATCCAATAGCCTGTCTTATATGCTTTAGTTCATCCCATGCTGAACCTGCATACTGCAATCAGAAAACAAATAATTCTTGGAAAAATTAACAAGCCATCATCAATGGGGTAACCTCATTGTAACTCTGAAACAACATAAAGCAATATCGATATGGCCTCTAGACCATGATGTGTTTCATGATACAAATTGTTTCTTATTAAGCTCCTCAAAAAATAAGGACAACAACATAGTTGGCATCAAAAATTCACACACAAGTTTGATGATTAAAACATTGCATCGCTCACATCTGTTTTAAGCGTTTGATTATCTATGATCATAAACAGAATATCAAAGAATATTTAAAAGATATAATCTCAATGAAATATTTTCATATGTCAAAGTTCATAGTTATAGATCCTGGATCAGACCAGCCAGTCCAATCTGCTATGCTAGAGCTTTAAAAAGGCTAAAATACCCTCAAGTATTTATTTATTATCAAAGATATTTGAATATTCCCAAGGACATTTTAACTCCTAATTATAAGGATAAAAGAAGAAAACTATATTAAATTCATTATTCTCTCATTCACTGAATGTGTTTACTTCGTCCTTATCGTCCTCTTTCATTATATCATAAAAGTTATTTTACAATAATATCTACATATGTTTTATATTTCCAATATTATATATGATTATCTTTTATTTTCAATATTATATATAGTAATTTTACAGAAGGATCAATTGGCCCACCGGTTCAACCAATGACCCATTGATCTGAAACTTGACTGACAGGTCTGATTCTAATAACTATGATCAAAATGGTGAGAAAGTCAGTAGGTTTCTTCCAAGACCTAGGAAAGCATAACTCATTTACAAACAGCTAATTACTTGATCAAAAGTTTGACGCTTACAAGCTTTTCATTCTTATGCATTAATCTATTTTCCTCTGAGAGATAATCTAATGGCTGAAATTTTTGTAAGAAAGAGGAGAGAAAAACCAAGAGATCATATTTGGACATGAAATTTCATTCTGCAATTTAAAGGAGATTCAGTAAAATAAACCTAGGAACAATTCTATAGGTAAAAATCCACATTCAAATGAAGCTTCCCTTCTTTCTCTATGGAGAGGCATAAACTGAAAACACAGTTATTGAGATTCCAACAAACAACACCAAAGCGGTCAAGAAGTCACCTTAAGAAATAGAATGGAACAATGTTATATAAAGGAATATCAACCAGATGGTCAATGCAGTCTACGAAGCATTCACGTGATGCAGGTGCACACGAACAAACAAACAAACAAAAGTAGTCAAGAAGTCAACTTAAGAAAGAGGATGGAACAATGTTACAAGAAGCAATATCAATATTTAGGTAGTCAAGGCATTCTATATAAAGCATATGCAGTATGTAGCTACATATGCCAATAAATGTCATACATGTTAGAATGCTAATGAAGTATAATCAAGGACAAACAAACAAATATGCAAAAATAAGCGGATAAGTATGAGCAACTGTCAAATAAAAACTGAAGGGGCAATATTACTATTCTAATTTATTTAAGTGAAGAGTTACAAGATCAATCTTAAATTTTTTTTTTACACTATTAATACTACATAAAACTGAAATAGTAGCAAGATAGAGGAAACATAATTCAATTTCCAATCTTGGGTTCATGCTATGCAGATCACAGGTACATGCAGCCACGTTTTCATTTATATAAAACCTGCAAAAGCAGCCACTTAGATGTATGAGCTGGATAAGCTGTTACATTATGCCAGCTGGAATTTTCATATATATATATATATATATTGGCAGCACAAGTGGCTGCATAGATGTAGGAAGCTGCATATGTGTATATACTGCATGTTGAGGCTCATAGGTTGCATGGGCTGCCCATGTGACTGAATAGGCTGCATTTAGAACACTGGGACAGCGAGAAGCAAAGGCACAATCGTTAACTCCTGATCATAATAAGCTGTCTCTGGTTGTAAAAATCTTTTAGAAAGAAGAAAACTAAGGTTTAGGTAAACTTAATATAAGCTTAAGTCACAAATCAAATACAGTGCGCCATTGCTATAGATGTCAGCTACATGAATGAAAGGAAATTAGTTTGGTATGAATTGATCATAGAAAACATAGTTCTCCTATATAAAAGGGTATTTGAAAGATTGAACCAACAAAATACAGATCGCAAGCAATTCCAAACAGTGGAAGTTATAGTAGAACCTTGGCAAATGAAGCTTGTCTCACCAAATCCAAGAGCTTTATAGTGTTGTTGGATTAACTAGTGCATATATTCATGAGGTCTCAAAGTTTATTCTATTTGTGGAGTAAATTGTCCTAAATGTTGAAATAGCAGAAGTTACGTAGAAACTTGGCAAATGAAGCTTACCTCACCAAATTTGAGAGTTTATAGTGCTGTTGGAGTAACTAACACATATTAATGTGGTCTCATAGTTTGTGTTATATATTAAAGAAGTGTTAAGACACTAACTATGCAAAATAGAGTTTTAGTGACAACAAGAAATATATTTTACAAGAAAGGATTAATGAATTGAAAAAAGGTTAGCACAAGACAGCTAGGTGAGGAGGTAATTCTAACCAATATTTAAAATCTCATTGGTTACTGATACCAGCCAAAATCCGGACCAGTACATACCAATAAACAATGGCATACCATTCGGACCAGAGAGAAAGAGGAAGAAAAGAGGAGGCAGAGGAATAGACGAATTGGTTGGAGATGAACAAGGAAGCAGCAGTGAAGCAATAGGAAGGAGGGGAGAAGGATCGTATGAAAGAGAGAAAGAAAGGGAGAAAAAAAAGGCAAAAAGACAGTTGAAGTTGTCCTACCACTTAGTACCCGTCTTAACAATTAAACTGGGTGGTATTCCAAGAGAGGTTAACATACCCAAGCAATAGGACCGGTCGAATAGCATCGAAAAATGGTGGTTCATGTACCAATTCATGGTCATATCAGTAAATACTATCTGGTTTCATAAACCTTGCTTCTAACATTGGTGACTGAATCAAAACCTTGGGTTAAAAGGTAAGCAGCAAATAAATTTAAGGATGTTCTGTAATAAGTAATGTTAAGAAGACAACTTTGAGATGAATGAGAGGTTTTACTAGGCAATATAGAATAAGAAATAATTGCACTTATCATATTTTTTAAGCAGTAACAGCTTTAGATAAACATAAGGAACTTATGGTTCATATGTCCAATAAAGATGGTAGTGGTCCCAAAAGGATTATAAGTTGATCCACTACGATGCCAATCTGGACGATACTAGAAGGAATTGGGTGAAAACACTAAAAAATATTAAATGGCATATAGTTTCACAGAGTATTCGGACCCATGAGCAGCTGATGGTCCATGTAGCTCAAGCCAATGACTGAACCCTATTCTACTAATTCATAAAAATAAGAATGGCATCTTATTAAGTCTTCCTAAGATTTCTGGAGCAAGAGGAGGATAGATCTTCTTGTGTTATTCTATCATGTAGATTAGACAAGGAAATGGAAGGATACAAACAAGAGTTTTAACAAATGAGTAGATAATAAACTTTTATTTCACTGCTGTCAATAGGTTTTGACATTTACTTCTTACAAATAGAAATTAGCATAAGAATTGATGCTAACTTACTAGTTGCTAGTTGCTAATATGATGAAAGCACGTCAACTAAGATCTCATACCCTTGCTTTTTTAAATTGTTTTTCTTTTGTATATTTCTCAACTTATATATCTAAGTTTATATCTTATATTTTTTATCAATTGCAGGCTATTCTGAGAAATGCAGTTCGTTAAGGAATGAACTGATATAACAAGTATTCAATACCTACTTTCATGTATTATTATATAATTTATTTTCTTTTGTATATTTCTCAACTTATATATCTAAGCTTATATCTTATATTTTTATCAATTGCAGGCTATTCTGAGAAAAGTAGTTAAGGAATGAAATGATATAACAAGTAATCAATACCTACTTTCATGTACTATTATATAATTTATAATATTAATTTTACCAAATAGAAGAAAAACAGTAGAGTAATCAAACCAAGATAAAAACCAATGCTACTGATAAAATTCAGACCAACTTCCTTGTCCCGGTATAAGCAGCTCTTAAAAAAATATACTGGAACGAAGATAACTACCTCATCTGTTGCTTTGTAGCACCAATGTTCTAGTTCAGCTAATCCTGCTTTAACATATTCACCGTTGCTAAATGAGCAACATTCTCTCCTCAATAAAAGACTGTGAAGAAATGATAGCCCATTAATGACAATTCTTATTACAATAATAGCAGAGACTGGTGTAGTCTAAAAAGTGTACCTGTTAAATAGTTGTACATTTATGAAGGAAAATATCTGTGTGAACACCTTCCGAACTAAGAATGGAGGCACCTAATTATACAAGAAATCACAAATAAGAAGTTATAGGATAAATAATTATATTTTCAGCAAATAAATGAAATATGCAGGGAAAATGGGACTGGAACGATTCTGACAAATTTTGGGAAAATTTGTATTGAATTCTCTAACCTGATCATAATTTGTAACCAAGACCAACAATAATTCAAGAATACTATCTCAAGAAAGAAAAAGATAAATAAATAACTCAGTACTGTGTAGAAAAAAAAACTGACGTGATTTGCTTTCAATGTGTTCAAGAAACTGTCAAGACTTTTAACAATCCCTTGCCAGTGGGCAATCAAAGCTTGCTGTGCAGGAGCATTTCCTGGTGAGCGAGAAGATCCTTTGACTAGACTAGCTCTTGATGTTCGTGGGGCCTGCATCATCCATGTACAAAAATGAACCCTAACATGCTAATGATCAAGCATGCCATGTAGATGCTACCTTAGCTAAAGAGAAACTTGATGGTCAAAATTGTAAAATATTATGTAAATAATACCAGCAAGACAGCAACATGACATGAAACCATATTAGCCTAGTTTTAGAGCACAAACAAGCAAGGCATACCTGAATGCACAAACCAAGCAAGGGAGATATCTCCTTCTTCAAATTATCCCTGATCATTCCATATATTTTTTCTACATATGCAGTAAGTTGTTGTTTGAATAGTAAAGCAGGGTACTTTGCTTCAACTTGACGCAATTTATCTACTCCACCAGTCAAGCTTCCATTCACAAAAGAAAGGTTCACACCTTGCGGTGTACCCCTGAAACTCTAAGAATAAAATTTGTAGAATATCACTGCTAGGTTTTTCCCCCAAGCACAAACTTAAAAGATGGCGATGGTGAAAAGCATCTTAACAACAATTAAGACATTCCCATACTTGAGTCATCCTGCCAAAAAGAGTAGCAGATGATGACCGACGGCGTTGTGGTGCCATTCCTGCTGCGCCACTTGCTTTCAGTGTCCGTTGAAGTAGCAACAATAAAGTTGAAGCATTGGAAAGCCAATAGGCCAAGACCTCATTATTATCCTGGGTCTTCAACATACAATGAATAATATCCATTGTGAAGCACATCAAGTACAAAAAATGATAGTAGTAACAAGGGATTAGTTCAAACCTCAATAGCATGACCAATTGTTTGAATAATTCGATCAAACACACTTGTTCGCTCAACTTCAAAAGATCGCCATTGTAGAAGGCATTTATAAGTAATACAGGCAGCAACAGGTCTGCTTCCTGCAAATCCTAGGTCTTGTGCAATACACCTAATCAATAAGTCCTGGTTTTCCTGTAATAAGAGTTGACAAGTCAATATGGGAGTGCCAGAATTCACTCAAATATCAACATGTGGAGCACCAACTTTGCAGGAAAGAAGATAAATAGAAGTTTAAGTCAGATATTTAACCTGCTGTTTCTCATTGAGAGATTTCTGTGGCTTATCATCTACTTCAGAATTCTCCCTCATGTTGAATGATGCACTAAGTGGATCCTAAATCACACAAATCAATATTAGTTGAGAAAATATCAAGTTGAAGTTTTTAATGTATAAAGTATCCAAAATTGAAAAACAAAAGAAGCTGCATCGGTTCATCTTACTGCTATTGTTCTGGTCTCGCTGTTAATAACAAGACCATTTTCGGAGCTCCTCTGTCAACCAATCATAAAAAAGGGGGTTTAGTCTAGATTAATATTAGTGCCATTTTAGAATCCAGTACCAAAACTTTGTTACATTCACCTGCAGAGTTGATTTAGAACGTCCTGATAACAATTTATTGGGTGCCATGGATACAGCCTGCTGACGAAGTACTTTATTTTCGGACTCTAGGTTTGCCAGCTTTTCTTCAAGCCTAGTTAAGAAAGAATATAATTAAGGTATCTGAAAAATGGCATTTTCTAGTACTAATATTCGTTGCTTAGTACAGACAATTCAAAGATAGCTATTTTTAAGACCTCAAATCATCCATCCAAAAATGAACCTTAAATATGCAAAATGTCATACAAAGCATTTTCACAATCCTCAACTGTGTCATTTAACATCACTTCAGGTTATGACATAAGGAAAAGTTACAAGTATAAAAGTTCTCCTGATTTGTCTTAAATGTCTCTATTCCTCTTGGAGTCTTTCAGAACTCTTGTGCACAACCTTTATAAGTGAGACAACCCTAGAACATTCCTAACTATCACATGTTACCTGAAGAATTTCAATTCATCAGTCCTCGTGAACAAAAGTTAGAGAGCAACCTTAACTGGATTTCGCTAAAAATTGATGCACCAAGTTGCATCTTGCGCCAAAAATATTTTTCTCATGTGCTCAAGTATCAATAGAGCATTTGTTTGAGACCAGAGGACTGTGCTTAAATTCAAAAGAAAGTGAGTATGCAGTGCCGAAAGGTTTATTTAATTTGGGAAGAGGATTTAACCTGTAATGGAAGAATAAGATAACATCGAACTGATTACTTCTTATACATGCTAATGAATAAATTCTCGACCATATCACATGTATATAGGGAAAGTATTAGGTGTGTGCATTGGTAGGCCACCTATGAAAATAATGTAAATACTCACCAAATCTGGCGAGACAGATGGCCTACTGTGTTGGGTTCTCTACTAAGCTCGGAAGAGCTTGGTTCAAATTGTATATGACATTCTTGAAGTAATACAAGTTTATTTTTCAAAAAAAAAAAACTTATATCTGAAATTGATCTGCAAGACCATATTCCAGTTTTCTAATAACATCAACGATTTTGACATAAGTTATTGATCAAGAGTGAGTGCTGCAAGAAAGATTCCTTGGCAATATCGCCTGAAACATCTCCTGTTGAGGTGCTATGCAAATTATAAAGTACAGATCACAGTAACGAACAAAGTTCATAGTTGCCTGAGTATCGGTCAACTCAAAATCTGTTTTCTAGATTCAAATTTGACTATCCAATCATTGAGCTGCAAAAGTATGCAACCTAAGTTGCTCTATCTACAGTCTCCTTCCTTCAAGTAATGTAAATATCATCCACTGTCTAGAATTGTAATTGTATAAATAATGACCTACTCCAGAAAACTAACAACAGTCTGGTATCATTCACCTCTCGGGCATAAATCAGTTCCAAGATCTGCCAGATCAATTCCAGAAACAATAACTTTTTTCCAAGTCACCCTGACCAGGAAAATTTGACCTATGAGCAATGTCGATCAAGTTTCTAAAAAAAAGGATAGTTGATGGCTCACGACAAACAGATGTCTGTATTCAGCAAGCATCATCACATCTACATGATAGCTCTATTTTGACATCCGTCCATATTTATATCTCAAATAAAATGGAATTTTTCCCAATGTGTTTAACATAAGAGTAAGACAATGAAAAAAGTAAAACCTGTGTAAAGATTCCTGAAGTTGATGTAATTTTCCTTCTGATTCGTGTAACTTCCTCTGTCTTTCTTCACTAGTTGTTTGTGCTTCATTAAATCTGTTTTCAGCATCATCAGCTCGTTGTTTTTCTGATTGTAATGAGGCCTAAAAGGGGCAGAAAACAAGAAAACAATGAAATAAGCCAAGATCTTCATATTGATAGAAGGCACTTTCTAATATATAAACAGATAAAAAATTCACAGATTATATGCGACATGTATAAAAGAAAAATAATCAAAGCTTGCCCACAGAATCATTTGCATCAATAGAAACCTTCTTTTCTAAAGTAAGCAGAACTATAGTGCAAGCAAATGCCACCAAATTTTAATTAATTTGATGACCATAAAATTATATACAATTAACGAAATCTTATCGATCCATATTAAACTCAATATCAATCTTTGATGCATACAAATGCATTCAATTTGCACACAAAAGAGAAGATGCCTAAGTACTTAGCTATTTAAGCATGCTTTTCAGTTTTCATGTTGGTAAAGCTCTCATTCATATGTAAGTAAACCCCATTTACATTCTACCATGGAATCAACTTTCTAATGTTGCCACCTGCAGTTGATGAAGTGATAGTAGTAAAGAGGGGAAAGAATTAAGCTTACTTTAAAATGATATCTTATATCATAACCATTAAAGAAACTGCATACCCAGTATGTTTCAGCAATATCGAAAAAATATATAAATGTATTTACTAATATTGTGAATACATGTCCAATTGTATGAAGACCAACACCTTCAAGTTCTCCACTTCATCCGTCAAGGAATCAATCTTCTCAGTATCTTGAACAAGAACAGTATTTTCTTCGATAACAGGAGGTGCATCTTCAATAGCCTTTTTTGCAGCCTCTCGTTCCTTGACAAGCATTGCTGTTGTCTCATCCACTTTACTTTGCATTGCTTGCAAAGAGCTTTGTAACTTTGTTATCTCTTGTCCTTTAGCTTCCTCTAAGTCTGTCTGTATCCATTAAAACTTAAGTTAGCCCTGTTACCTTAGTAATATATGCTAATGCAACAGTGTGTGTACAATTGATAGATGTAATGATAAAATCAAATTTTGAATGTGACTGCCTTCAATTTCTTTCATGTTTATTCACTGTAGATCAGCACCAGGCACCAGCACATCTAACCATAAAGATAATCATTATAAAATGTCCAAAACTTACCCGCAAACGCTTTTCTAATTGCAAACGCCATGTAAGTTCTTCCACTGTCTTTTCAAGCTTATCCTTCGCTTCCTTGAGAGCACCTGTTTCTCGTGCAGCCTGAATCAAACAAATCAAATCCATATGAATTAAATATGACAAGTTTATCAAGGACCATAAGCAACTCATATATATACATATATACACACACACACACATACTGATATACATATACATACATATATATACACACACATATGCAACATTTCGCAGCAGTTAGTCAAACATCAAAATCTCAAATTAAAACTTAAAACTACTCTCTGATAGTCCAAAGTAAATAAGAGGACATCAGGTTTATGTAGCTTGTTTATTTCATTCTGCTATTGGCAATACCCAACTAGAGAGAGTAACTATAATGTATATGGCGTTATTGTTTTCAACACTTTTGTGCTAGTGAGAGTTCCCTTTTGTAATCTGATGAGCTAACCATTGGTTGTCATCATTTCTTAAAGTAATATAATTTCTCTTTCATGGAAAAAAAACTATAAATGTATATGGCAGTGGTACAAGGTGCAATTTATTGTGGTAATCTAGGATGTAGCATTTTATGTATTAAATTTAAACTAATATTTCATTTAACTTTAGGAGATAACTGGCAGACAAAGCCCATGTGCTGCAGGGGTATAAATAGTGAAACGAAGAAGAATGTGTTGAAAGGAAAACATGCAAAAACACCTTAAAACCATGTTTGAAAAAAATGCTCGGACCAAAGTGAACAGGGAGGTACATATCAGTCCAACGGAGAATGGGGCTGCAGACTAGCCCATTTTGGGTGGTCTCGCTTCAGTTTATGACTTTTTATATAAAAATCCTTTATTAATAGGTCTGCCTTTCTCTCTCTATCTCTCTTGCTTGATCACTCAATCAACAGCTCTGAACCCCATGCCTAAACCCTCAACCTGTCTAGATAGTGGTACATTATAAAAGTACGTACCAATTTGAGCTTCCTAAGCTCTCTCCTTGCAACCCTTCCCCTCCATCTGCATTGGCTGACAAGTGATGCCCTCTTTAGCTTCTTATGGTATGAATAAGCTCTATAACAACGCCATTTAGCCTGCAAATAGCAAACAAGAAGATAAGAATATACATAGAGGATTTGAAGTCTTCGAGAATGTACAACAGTGAACAAAATAACAAATTATTCATTAATTCGACAACAAGGAAAACTAATCAACCTGAATAACAGTTGCTGCCTTAGTTTGCTTCCTAAACCTAAACTCATTCCGAGCAGCCAAAAATCTGAAACCAGCTTGCAGGACAAGAACTGACAATCTCAATCGTGTGTAAGCCTTCTTAGCCTTGTAACGACGCAAATTTTTCTGAACCTTTATTGCAGCATTTTCCCTTCTCATGCCTTCATACAACTTAAAAGCCAGTCTCCCTATGAACAAAAAGATGTTTGATGAGTATAAAACCAAAGATTACACAGCTTATATTGAAATGAGTTAAACACACTTCTCCATAATGACTGCACATATATGGTAGCCTTCCGCAAAGCAATAAATTGTTTCCGCAAAATATGTGTTCGTATTTGATTTTGAATAGTTTTTGCAGCGCTGTTAAGCACTTCAGCTCGTCGAGCATCTAACTCTGCCATCTGACCAGCTCTAAGAAAAACTTTTGATTTGCCTATCTGTAAAATCGGGAAGCAGTTTAAAACTACATGAATTTTACAACAAATAGATACATGGTCAAGACATGAAAAATACATGTCAATGAATGATCAACAAATTCAAAACAAAGGCAACAGATAAATTGCTACCAGGAAACAATAATAAACAAAGTAGTGCAAGCAGATTTTTCATGACACAAACTCATTCAAAGGAAAGTGGCTTTGTCATGTAAATTAATAGGGACAATTTTAGATTTTTAGTTAAGCACTTAAGCTAGCAGTAGTGATAGATGGCTAAAATTATAATACAGAGATCATCTATACACATGGCAACTCAAGATAACAGTGATTTAACCATGCAAAATGTTATGATGATGAACATGGTTCAGGAAATACCTGAAAACCTGCCAACCCCGTCTTTTCCAGAATCTTCCTGCAAGCTATCTTTTCATCGTAGCTGTTCAAGAATGCAAAGCAAAAACAAAAGCTCCTCATACAATCAAAGTCATGGAATGCAATATATATCTAACAAAACCATATGCAGAACATCATAATGAAGGACACTTGAACTTACTTTCCCTCTAAAACTTCTGGGGCAAGAACACCAAAACGATGTAAAAATTCATAGAATATGCGACGAGTAGGATATCCAGCACAACTAATTCTGATAGCCTCAAGAACACCCTAATGACACCCCAAAAGAATTAAAAATGATTATTTAAATTTTAAAACAGTTAATATAAAATAACATCTTTAGTCAGAACCAATCAAAATGTCCAAAAAGTACTCACGCCACAGCGTAATTGTTGCATAACATTGACATTCTCAAAAATGGCAGGTTTTAGAAGATTGTTCGGCTTCACACATCTAATGTAATGGGGTTCTGTGGAATTTAATGTCTCCATCAATGCCTGTAGTTGTTGCTGCAGCAAAATTTTAATCTAGAGTGAGATGCATATTTTACAAAAGAAAACAAAAGGCCCCAAATTATTCTCTAGAAAGAAAAAAATCTAGCTTTTATAGAAAAAGAGGAAGATAAGTATACACCTTAAATCGAGAACCAATGGATGAAAATTTTGAAGTCTTGGATGTCTCCTCAGGCAGAGGAGGAAAAAGGCCTGAAACAAATGAGCATTTTGAAGCACTCAACAAATCTTGGTGTTCTGCCACAACATAATCCTTATTTTTGTCCAGGAACTGATCAGATTGATATAAAACCTAATAACAGAAAACAAATGCACTGAAATTAGTCTCAATGCTTATAGCTGTTTTTCAGCTAAATCAAGCTATCTAACCTCTCCAGCATAATGGCTTATCGAAAAATCAGTACGAGAAAGCTTGGGCTTGATGAAGCGCTTGTGTGTTTTAAATGTCTGGTAAAGCTTTTGCGCAAAGGTTTCATGTGTTGATTTTGGAAACATACTGTTGATACAAGAATGATTAACATCATAAGGTTGTACATTGCAAAAAATGTAAAAAATTTCTCTCCCGAGAAAAAGGAAAAAATGAAAAACAAATCTAGAAAAGAACTAGACAGAAGAGAAAAGAAAACTAAAGTTTACCATGCTTCATCAAGGAGTGCGATGATACCTCCAGGTTTCTGCAATAGAAAATAGCAACCTAAGTTTCATAACATGCATGTTCCATTCAATGCTACAAATATCTAACCATTTTGCTTAAAAGTTATGATCTTCATCAGTTGCAAAGGACAAAAAGATCATATGAGTTATCTATTGAATTGAATAAGGAGAAATACTATAACATAAGAAGCAACAAGCAGAGGAGAAGGTCATGTGAATTATCAATGAACTAAGAAATTTAAATAAATATGGAGAAATACTACGGGAAGTAACATGAACATGAAAGAATAATGCACCAATGTTTTCTGGAACATTGGTTGGTAGTTAATCAATCATAACATGTAGTACAATTGTAGCAAACATGGGAATCCATTCAACAGAATTGGTGAAAGATGCTAATAAATAAAAAGATAAATATGAATTTCATTAGGAAAACCCTAATTTTGCTGAGTCCCATTCAAGCCATGTTTTAGATTCATGACATGACCATTGCAATTCTTTGCACAAATAGATACATAGAAATTCATTAGTGTAAAATATCTGCTCCCATCCATATAACTGGATGATTGAGAATCTCGGAGGGAATCCTATTGTTGGGGGTTGCCATGCCAAGGAGCATGTTATGCATCTACGTAATATATAAATACACATAAAGCGAAAAATGTGCAACAATGTATAACAAAATCGTTGTCATTATTCTTTCCAAACAGAAACTACTGGGAACTAGAACTCATTTTCCTCTTCTTGATAACATCATGAATATAGATCATCTTTAATTTAACATTAGTACCAACAAAATGCACAAAGGTTGCTTTACTAATTTAAAAGGTCACCATTTGCAAAAAGTGACACCAGGATACTACTGTAATCAGGGAAGATGTTAAAAAACACATTTGTTGCATTATCCAATAAGGCATATATTGATTAATATTCAAAAGTACTTAAGATGTAGCGTAACAAAATAAGCCAAGGCAAACAACTAAACTATTTATTTACTTCATGCAAAACAATAGACCAACCCCTCCTTCCATCAAGATGTAATACCACAACACCATCCAGTGCACATGTTTACTGTGCTCAAGAGAAAGAACATCATTTTGTTAAACACAGTTATGCTACTTATGTTAGAGCAAATTTTCACACCTGTAGAATTACATCATTTTGTTAAACATCATTTTGTTAAACACAGTCAATCTAAAGTTCTTGAGTACATTTTACTTTTTTGCATGCTGGTTATCGAACAGAACAAATATAATTTTGTTCTGACCATTCTAGAATTACAAGCATCAAGTCACTATTTGTACTAATTGTTAACAAATATGAGAACTCATTTTGATGTTTCCATTTAGAATTTGACTGTTCTGTTAATGCTACCTAAGAGTGGGACCAGTCTTAATTTGAGCTGCAAACAGAGATAAGGTTGAAAGTGGTCAGCTTAGGGTACATCATAGCATCCCACAATATCAGCAATTGTGGTGCTAATGCATCAACATCACTCCGATTCCACAAGATACCACCATCATATGCACTGCATGAAACTTAGACTTAAAACCACTATGAAAGACACCATGCCCCATTTTTAGAACATAATTGATCAAGATATGGACATTACCAGACATTAGCACACATATACAGTACATACGTGCCACACAAACATGTGAATGATGGATATAGATTAACATCTCCAGAAAAATTTCCATAAAAAACAAAACTAACATTCATGGATCATGTGCAAGTAAAAGAGAAATGAGAAAACCTTCTCAATAAGATCCAGGACATCTTGATTATCAACAAATTCAATGTAGCTCCAATCTATCTCCTCTTTTGTGTACTCTTCCTGCTCCATCTTGAAAACATGCTGAAAAGAACAAGTTGCAATCCAGTTCAGTTGTTAAAGAACCACCTCAAGTACTTACCTTTGTTTTCATTTTCCTTTATCAAATAAAACTCTCTACCTGCTATTAAAACTACTAATAGAGAAAAAAAGAAGTTTCATATTTAATTTCCCATGCTGAAAGACGAGTTGTACCAACCTTGAAATATTGGGCATTACATATTACATCTACTGAATTTTTTTTAATCAACAAAGACAAGAATGAATTTACCATATGCGAAGAGTTTACCTGGTTGAAATGCTGCTGTAGTTTCTCATTTGTGAAGTTAATACAAAACTGCTCAAAGCTGCAAAAAAAAAAAGGTAAATATAGAATAGGATCACATTAGGGATAAAAAGAACTTATTACTGCCACTTGCTTAATAAAGTTCCTTTTTGTTATTTTACCTGTTTGTCTTAAAACTTTCAAAACCGTAAATGTCAAGGACCCCAATCAGTGACTTAGAATTTGGATCTTGTCCAATTGAGACATTTATTTTATCAACAATCCTGTAAATTAAATGAAATAAAGTATAATATCAAATTCTTCAAGACTCATCATTTTCATTAATGGTTCAAGAAAGTTTAAAGTAGTATGAGATTGAGTAATCACAGTTCTTTACCAGTCAAACAAGCGAGAATATATTGTCTTAGCTAAGCCATCCCTACTAATGGTTGCAGCACGAGGATCAAGTGGTCTCTTAATAACTTCTTCAGGTGTGATCATCACACGCTTACACAGTGCATCTTCCAGAGCTGCAGAATCACACCTGAAAAATCATACGTTCTTATTTCAACGACTTTGAAATAGTAGCATCTAAAGCAACAAGAACAAGTGCATTTAGAATTTGGACTTCACATAAGAAGCTCAGCGGTCATCTTCAGATGGAACTTAGATTTGTCATCTTTCAAAACTGATGAATCTATATCTTGTCCCTTGGCAAAATCAATATTTCCAAGATGAAGAATGGCTGCAACAACCCTAAAAATTGCATCCTGGGAAAAGGACCCAAAAGATGAATTTCACAATATTGCTTTAGTCACAGATGCAATAGCAGTTACATTTTAAAAAATCAATATTTACCTGTTCCTGTGCACTAATTCCAACTATATCCATAGCCCTCCTGGTGGCTAAATAGTCATGGGCATCACTCACACCAACCAACTCATAGCAATTTGATTGGTTAAGATAATGAAATGAATTTGGTTTTGATAACTTGTACTTTTCAACCACCTGGAATGAGATGCAAAATTAGTTACTGTAATACTTGGGAAGTAAACTTAAGATCAAAAAAGATGTTTCACCATTAAGCATCATAATACATAAATTACATAGTAAATAAATAATTATTACAAAAAAGACACCTCTGTTGGTGCTGCACATAGAAGGTAAAAGCAGTGGTAGTTACGCTCTGGATCAGAAACCTGGCAAACTCGGGACCTCTCAAGAAGATATGTCCGGATGGCAGCACCTGATATTCTACCTTGCCTATCAAATTGGATCTCAACAAACTTGCCAAAACGACTGCATTTGTTGTAAAACATATGGATCAATACAGATGCTCATGAAGATAATAGCATGTCACAAAATAATATTTTATTTGACATCAAAACCTCTTAATGCATTACCTGGAGTTGTTATTTCTGACAGTTTTTGCATTTCCAAATGCTTCAAGAACTGGGTTTGACTGGAAAAACAATCACTTATCTACCCCTCAGAAACAGATCATAAATAGACTACTACAGAAGTTCTAGTTGAACTGTGCTTACTAATTATCAGAGATCATCAACTTACTTCAAGTACTTGTTGCTCTACAGTTCGTCCTTCAGTAGCAGCCCGTCCACCCAAATAAGCAAGATAACGCATAAGCATCTTTGTTGTCTCAGTTTTACCCGCACCACTTTCACCGCTAACCAAAATGGAATTACTTTTCTCCTCATTTATCATTGCCCTGTTTCATATACATAGCTAGGAACAAACTTATGATTTTGTAGGATTATGAATCTAGTACACAAAAGCAATAAATTAAACCTGTATGCCACATCTGCCACTGCAAACACATGAGGACTTAGCTCACCCAATCGAGCTCCTTTATATTGTATCATCATGTGAGAATCATATAGATGGGGCAACCTTTGAAATGGATTTATGGCAATTAGAATATTTCCTGTGTAAGTCTGCCAAGAATATACATATCAGATTAAAACATAAAAGAAAAAAGGAGCATATGTACTGAAAAGTAAATTGGATGATAAACAAGGTACAGCTTACATAAATTTCATTCAGTTGGTATCTGGTTGACAAGTTCTGCAGTAAACCAGGCTCATGCAGATAAGAGAGTTTTGTCATGTCATCAACCCCTCCAGGTGGGGCTTCCATATCTTTGGGATATATTTTTGATAGACTAGTAACAACCTGGTGAATCATAATAAATACATATTAGCACTGTATACACATCTTGATTCATAAAGTATATTCTCCATTTAATTTAGCATTTAAACATACGAATCAAGAAAATTAAGAGTGAAATATACCTATATTATTTCTATCTTTAAGTTAGATATTTGAGTATAAATGATAAAGACTAGCATTGCACTTTACAAGATTGAGAGAAAATAGACATGATCAAGTGAATCAGTTGGTGTTGGTTTGCATGTGTTCTTCCAATTATGATCAATTATCATTTTTATTATATTAATATATAGAGTAACAAATGTGAAAAGAATATTTAACATAGGACCTCAAGAAGCCACATGTAATTATCACAGGAAATTAGATCAACAAGAATACCCTATTGATGGATTCCAATACTGATCATAGGGAGACATATCAGCAAGTACGTACCCAAAACCCAGGCAATGTCATGGATCTCAGGTTAAATGGAAGATGTACAAACACATTCTAGACATTGTGGCTCGATAACAGTAATTTACAAGGATCTTTGGCAACAAAAATCAATCTTCGAGCTTATCACAGGAAGCTCAAAACCACAAAGGACTTTCTCCTCGGAAAGATTATTCATAAATTGCACCTCAATGGTGAGAAATGACCTAAATTCTTTCCATGATGCAGTCCAAATATGACATGCTTGTCATGGATTGGGATCCTTTATAATTCTTCTAGAATGTACATGACCAACGGTTCCATAGTGGCAATCCCACCTCTCTTTTTTTTTTCAATTGCCAGTCCTTCTATGCATAGCTATCATAATAGGACCAGACTAGGTGGTTGGGCCGAAAACACCAGGAACAAATTATTTGGTAGTATAGTAAATAATACTTAAATACTGTCCATTACATTTTTTTTTTATTCCAGAGGAATTTATGTTAATTAAATTAAAGATAAGGAGAGAAAATTCTTTCTCATCAGATCACTCTTCTGCTTTCTCTCCCATCGACCGCCCCTCCCTCATCTTCTCATTTCTCTCTAATTGCTTTTCTATTTCCACTCTTTCATACTCTTCTCTCTTCGGCTCATCTTCCTTCGCTCATCCCTCTCCTTAGTCTTTCCTCACCTTCTATCCATTTCTTCCTTCGACAACTTCACAACTCATGGTGTATGTTATATCCTTATCATGACAATTATGCTAGATAAATTATTTATTTCATATTCTTGAACAATGTATTGAGTATTGACTGATGTTATTTTCTTATGTTATTACATATAACTAAGGTTTTATTTTCATTTATGTTCAAGATTGTTCATTTTTTATTAATTTTGATATTTCTAGATTTTTTTTGGACTACATATAACTTTGAATTATTTTATATTTTTTTAAATTTTTTTGTTAAATATGCAGTCCCACCAAATGACCCACCGATTCGATCAGTGACATAGTGACCCAAAGTCCCAAACCTCAACCAGTCATTTTTCGTTTCCGTTCTGGTAACCTGAACCAATACTTCTACCGAGATGTCCATTAAGGACAGAAGGAAATCATAAATTAGCACCTAGTAAGGATTATGGAATTAACATCAGCTGGGCTTGATTAAAAAAACACATGATAAGAGTTTTACAGGCCAATAGACTCATAAAAAAACATATTAGAACAAATGTTCTCACACTAAGCATCACCTAGTGTAAGGAAAGGGCATGGTAACCCTTTAAAGAAATAATATAATCATGAAAAAAAATGAGAATAGGGGAGAACATAACCCAATGGTCTTCTGCAGTAAATTCTGTTTGTAAATATTAAAGGGAGAATAAGATGCCCTAAGTTTAGCACAATTGCTACATTACATGGAATGAAAAATGTTAGCAACTAAAATTTGGGAAGTCAAGAATAAGGTATAAATAAACAGAAGACACACCAAACAGATGCGATTGGTGCACCAGTAGATTGTTCAGCATATCATTGCATAGACCTAAACTAAGTAATATCCATATATTAAATCATCAGAGTCTTGGATGACAAAAATGGTGAACTAAAATTTGCTATCCTATTTGTAGTCACAAATTTGAAGAAAATATCAAATAAACTTAAAAAAATTATATCTGAAAAGAACTTGTAGTAGTGACAATAAGCTTTAACAGTAAAAACATTTTCCAAACTGCAAAATAATAGGAAATTGAGGAGAGAAGGTAGAAAACAAAAAGAAAAACTTATAAGTTTTTCTTTTTGAAACCAAATTTGTCCTTCTGTCATGAACTTATAAGTTCATGAGTAGGAAACAATAGGAACTCATGAACTCATGAACTTAGAAAACAATAGGAACTCATGAACTTATAAGTTCATGAGTAGGAATGTGAACAACTTTTTGTCCTTCTGAAACCAAATTTGCTTGAGGCTATCTATGAGTTGGTTACCAAATTTTGTCCAGAAAGAAGTAATAAGTCATGTTGTACAAGTGGAGAGCTGGAATTTACAGAAGTCTGTGCTTGATGAACCATCCATGTTTAATCTTGGCATAAATTATATTTACCTATCAACCTTCAGATTACATAATAATCAGACGGAATAGAATTTCATGAGTAAGTCTATACAAATCTACTAATAATAATGCTTGAATGGATCTGGACTTCAGCAGTAGCAGTCAGCTTACTGTTTTCCCATTAGAAGCTTGGACCTCAGCATTTTCACCGGTGATCTTAGTGACCTGTCCATCAATCCAAGATGATGTTGGATCTTCAACCCATACATGAGAACCTATACTTATATTAACTGGAGTTCCCTGCAGCAATTAGAAAAAATAAAATTATAATCATGTTCAAAGTTTTGTAAAGGAAATGTTGCACTAGCTATATCTTCATAATCATCCACGTGAAAAACAATTATCGTCGTAAATTCATCGATAAGATCTCAATAGCAGGAAAACAAACCAATGGCCAACACCAAATAAATGAGACACTATGGAATGTTTTTGTTGTTGTTACTGATAAATCTATTCATAAGATAAAAAATTACATATCAATATGCAGATTACACCTTTCAATATATGGACCACACCAACCATTTAGCAGTTTCTTGCGAAACTATGGATTTCATTTTCGCTTAATTACACCTCCAAGCAAACTAGATTCCCCTCCAGGAGACCCAAAGAAGAACATAATGTAACCAGAACTTAGGCTTGAAAGCGCATCAATTCCGCTTGAGCGTTCATGCTTACATTAAAATTTACAAAAAAATTGTATACTTCTAGTGGTTATCTAAATTATATATCCATTGTGTTCTCATCTTTAACTTACTGGTACTGATGCCATCACAAGCTTCCTGAAATGTCAAGCCTCCGTAGTTTCTGTTTCTACTTCACGATTACACTTGCACCTATGAATAACGGACAGAGACACAACATAATATGAAGACGGAGATCCAAGAACGTAAGCCAAAAATACAAAACGGACGAGGAGGATATAGGGGTAAGGGATCCGCACCATTTTGGATTGGTTCGCGTCCATATGCCTCTCCTCGGGAGGATGAACAAGAATAAGGGAAAAAGAAGAGCGTCGACGGCGATGGAGGAGTTGAAGAGGATGTGGATGTGGCGGAAGGAAGCAGGGCGGGGAACCCCGAGACGAGACGAGCGGAAGGGGAGCGGGACGTGTTTGGACCGAAGGCGATTTAGCGCGCACCCTCGCCATTCGGAGACGCTGCGCGACGGGAGCCACGAGACGGCCCGTGTCACCCGCGGCCGCGAGTGGTGGCCGTTCCCTCCCTTCACCTGCGCCATTTTCATCGGAGCTCCCTCTGCCCTCACTTCCCTCTCTAACACACACACATTAAATGGACCGCTAAATCGGTTTGGTGCTTTATAACATGTCATGTTTTCGAACTGCCAAAACGGCTTAGAAAGAACAATTTGCATATAAACCCCTCTGAAGTAAATAATTTTGTATTTATACCTCCATTCTATAATTCTGTTTATATCCTTAAAAAACTTGAGTTTCAAGATTTTTTTAATTAATATAACCTTTCGATTTAGTTTCATATCGAAACTATGCAAAAAAAATTAAGATTAACTTATAAAAATTTGATTAGTATTCTATTGTTAATTTCAAGTTAGGTATCTTGAGATAATGATTCAAACTCAACGAACCTAATGAGAATTATTTCATAAGAGCGGATCATCATAAATGGTATTAAAACATAAAATCATCACTAGGTTAATTTATTTGTAAATTATTTTTAAAATTTTAAAAATGCTAGTCACCATTACTAATACTTAACTTGGATTTTCAGATGAATTTTCAAGAGTATATATACTTGTAGGATTTTAATGTTTGGAGAAAAGTATATAGCATATACTAAAATTAGTAAGTGCAAACAAGTTATTTTCAAATTCATCATGATTTTTAATATATATATATATATATATATATATATATATATATATATATATAATTACCATCTGATCATAACTATCATAAAAATGTCTTAACCATTTTCTTATAAAATGTACTCTTATTTTCATTATTTACACCTGTCTTTCCAGCGGATTCTATTTTTCTTGGGAAGAAAAAACTAGTTTCTCCATTCTTTTTCTCGGAAAACCAAAATCCTTTTTATCAGCTACCAAACCGCCACTGAAGAATCATCATCGTCTTCAGAGCGTCAATGGCTTTTGACTATGCACCTTCAAAACTGGGTTTAAGAACGAAAGATATTGTGTTTCTTTTTTCTTTGTTTTGCTTTGCTTGTTTTTATATTCTTCGTTCACTACAAATTCCTGTCCCAAACATGAATCCATATCCTACAATTTCCTGCTAACTGAAGCCTTATCTAATGAAGCAATTCAAAAGAGAGACAGCATTATTATGAGCACCACAAAATTCTAACAACCAATCATAACCATTAAAAAGAAAATGTCTCAGAGCCCTCCATGGGAGTGTATACATGATGTCAAAGTGTAATCAATTAATTATGAATGGACAATGTAGTTATACAAACATAACAAATACATATATCAACAAAATATACAAAACTGTCTTGCTATCAGTTTTTACAACTAATGGTGCTGAGAATGATGATTATGATGCATATATTCATACTTAGCTAAGTAAATGTGCAAGACTTGTGTTAAATAAACATGATGAAGCCTAGACACCTAAACACATCTTCCACCCTTGGTACTTCTTGAAGAACTATTTGCCAACTTACTTCAAGATGGGTGTTACATTCCTTGTGATCACTCAAAGCTGATACATAAACATTTAAATTATCAGGGTAACTTCTTTATGGGATCTGAAAGCAAGGAAACCTTGGAGACAATACTGCTACGAGAATCCTTTCTCCCCATATAATCAATATCAGTGATGTACTGAGTCAATCATATCACCGGCGATGTTAAGATCAAAATGATCCAAAGCAGAAGTATTTTTTTCCTATATTTGCAAACTTATGAATGGAGTTCTTTCCATTCCCCCCAGAAGCCCTGAGACGCTGTGAGCTATCATTAATTTCATTGGCATGACTACCAAGCGGCCTGCTAGTTGTAGAAGCCTTTCCTTTTTGCTGTATCTTATCAGTCGATGAAGAATGCCCTGGCTGTATTGTCAATCCATTTCTGTCCAGCAGATGGCCTGTTCCACAATTATTGTTCTCATAGATTGCAAGATTACCATTTCTTTTAATTGAACCTGTGCATAAATGAATACCAACTTAAAGCTGTAAAAGCTATATTTAGAAAATATGTTATAGCAGATAAAAAGTAGACACATAAATAAGAGAATCTCATCCAAAATTCATTCGAAGAAATGAAGAAATAAATAAAAAAACCAAGAAAGATATTACAAAATTAGAGTGGACAATTAAATCTAATCTAGTCTCTCTATAAAGTTTAAAATGGAGTTGTTTGCTAGGACTTCAAATTCTATCTTCATTATAATTTTATTAATTGATAATTACAGTTATGAGGCAACAATTTAAAATGCTGACGATTTAGATGAAATTCATGGAAAAAAATGCAAAATCATGCCTTTAATAGTCAATAGAATTATAACTTTGTTTATAAAGTAGAAGCAAATTCATCATCCCTATAATGATAAATGACAATAATATATCTGAATATGGATTTGTCCATTCAAGATTGAACAGAGTACAAAGTGTCATAAAATGGGCTGCAGTCATTACAGCTTGTTCTACCTAAAAATCTTAGCACTAAGTATAATCATCAAAGTTTAAGTGCTCAGGTTGACTTGTGGTACAAGCATGATAACTAAACAAAGTATAAACAAGGTAGTGCAGAAGTTTAGCTTCTAATAAAAATGTAATGTGGGAAGAATGATCCAAGTGTACAATATAGATGGTGGTAATGAAATAGCATATGATTGAAGTGGCTGATGGGCTTAACTCGGCTTAAATATTCCCTCACAAAGCCAATTGCTAGTTCTATGAGTAACAAGAACCTTCTCAAAAAATTGCTTAAGTTTTCAAAGGAGCTGGAATATTGGCATACCTGATGGCGGAGGCCTGATAACCACCTGACTTGATTTGACAGGTACAGAAATACTGTACCTGCATTCTGTATACTCCTCTTCAACACCAAGGCCATGATCATTCTCAATATCCCTTATTAATGCATCAGGATCAAAGTATTCATCAGAATTCACCGACAACCGGCTGGAATTGCCTGAACTAGCTGAAGATGTCTCTGGACTATTAAAATCATTCAATTCCAAGTATTCTCCCTTTGCAAAGTCACAATTTCCATACATGTTCGCACAAAAATTCTCGGGTACAGGTTCATCAGGCCTTCTGCTGGACAATGCTGATTGTGCTTGATCCATCTCAGCAACAGTCTGCGTTGGAGTTATGTCAAACTAAAGTGTGCACAAAATTTATAATCAAATCATTTATACTATTCTAATCAAGGCTTTCAAGTTTGTGGTATGCACCACATGCAAATACTAAGCCTATGTGATATTGTATACCGGCACAGGAAATACAACTAGGCACTGACAGCTTGGCTTGCATGCGCAATTGTCACTTAAAACAGTGATAGCATACACAGAAAAATCTGGGTGCTACAGGTTGGATCCGGCAAGAAAAACCTGTTTTTAGAAGCACTGGTCAGACTCGGCCAACACTAGCCAGAATTGACAACCACTCAATCAGAATTGGATAGGATTCTAGTGGACCTGGTTGCTTCCAGGATAGTTCAGGCAGGTTATGGCGGGCTGGCTTAACTGCCCCCACCAATTTAACCAGTTCAAGTCTAGACTATTGTGACAAATTTCTAGCTGGTTCTAAGCTGATCTTGGAATGGTCCTGGCCGGTTTATGGCTTCTCCAACAGATTTGAGTGATAAAGGGAAAGAAATCCCATGTCAGATAGATCCAGTTATTTGGTTTTATCACTTTGTAATTCATTCAGCAATCCTCAAACCAAATCAACTTTGCAAATTTACTTAAAATTGTTACTACATAGTGGAGCTCGGATATTCGAGAGAGTGGGTGGTGTTTTTCAAAAGAATTTATTAGTGAATGCCAAGATATAAAATAATAATTAAACAGTATCATATGGGCCAAAAATCATATCAATTAGATCAGGGCTCTACATCTGACATTTGTTATAGAAATAATGATCAAATTAAAAATCCTGGCTACTATAAAATTAAAAGAGTACCAACAATAATTTTGAAAGAGTCTCCAAGATATGTTCAACCATCAATGCCATTTGGAAAAGAACCAAAAGACACACATAGTGCAAAGCGCTTCATAGCAATGATGCAGAGCACGAACCACAACTTGAAGAAAAGAAACAGTCTCTACCTGGGAACTGTTGGCAGAAACCGTCAGACATAAGTTGATCTCTTCTTGTTCTAGAAGGCTCAACAACAATTGTTCTACATACTCACCACCAGATGCACCAGCACTTGCAGAATAATTCAATTCCCCTTGACTTCTACTTCTGTCAGTTTGCAGGAAGATTCTAAACAAGGAACTGCTATCCTGCAAAATCATGTGAAAATTGAAATTCTAAGGTATTTATGAAGTTCTATAAATTACATATTAGCTAGGCACCAGAAGAGTTTAGTGTCAAGACTGATTGAGTACCTTTGAGTAAATATATCCATTCAGCTTATGCTGTTCCGCCTGATATTCATGCATCATCCACCCAGTTCTGTCTCCGAAAGGTACTTTGCCTTTACAAAATTCCAGTGTTGTTTTCCTACCAATGGTGCTGGTACCTGTATATATCTTTACATCATCTGTTGGTCTCCAGTACCCAGATCTTGTTGCTTTGATTTCACATCCCCCTTCAGGAGATCGTGGCCCCTCTGAGTGGTACAGGTACCAAATTTTTTCTGCATATTATTTTAAGTGACACAGCTCCTCAGTGTAGTTAAAGCTTTCTAGTGTTTCAGATTGAAAAAGCAGGGAAAATTTGATGCCAGGAGAGGCTGAATATCTTATTCAAGCACATGTTAACCAACTTGTAGTACAAACTCTAGTAAACAGATGACTGCCCAATAGATTCAATGGTTTCCTTACAAAGACTTCAAATCATATCACCCCATCTTACATATAGTGTGATCTTTTTTATGAACGGCAAGTTGACAATGCATTCATATGAAATCTTTGTAGTTTTATGCACTCAACATTAGATTTCCAACCAAAATTTTGCCTTCTGATTAAAATCATTTTTGTTTTGTATTTTTGTAGAATCCTGCTCCAACTCTCGTGTTACTCGTCACATGACTGATCTATGATGTGTGCATTATCTTGTATAATCAATGTATATGTTTTAGTTTCCTTGTAGGCCTAATGTTCTATGTCGTACTCTGATCTTCTGGGCTTGCAATGTGTAGATAGAAAGATATAGCTGGCCTAGAAATGGTGAACCACAAATCGAACATTGAAACTACTTTGTTTCTAGATCCAAGGAACATCACTCCATCTAGATGAGTGGCTAACCGGATATCAGAAGAAAGCACAAACAAAGAGAGGCAACCATAACCAAATTCAATTAACAAATGTTGCTGTTCATACGCTAACAATGGGCACCATCAAGTTCCTGTTACCTAAAGATATGCTATTTTTGCTAGAAGATTGATGTTACATTCCATTAAAATGGTAATTGTTCATCCTCTAAACCTAAAACTGACATAGCTGTGTAATCAGTTTACTGCATTGAGATCTACAGTCAAATAATATAAGCATGGCAAATATTATGATTTCACATTCAGGAATTACCTTTGGTGCATAAACCATGAGTTATACAGATACGTACCCATGCATATATACATGTTTTTTTCTTTTTATCAATGCATTGTTACTTTCAGTTTGACATCATAATCGAAAATTGAAACCTCCAGCCAGCTTAAAGATATTGTCAACTAAAATATATTTCATCACCTGACAAAGAATACGAGTCATTGTCCTACTTGCACTTTGAATGAAATCTTACTAAAAAAAATGAATGTTAAACCTAGTCCAAATTTTCTTAGTTTTACAGAGAAAAATGAACTTATAATTGCCCAAACCACAAACTCTTCCTGTGACTTTTAGGATATCCATACCATTAGTTCTTGCCCATATTTAGATACGCTGGAGAAATATAGGTGCTCATCGCCAAACATTAATTATATGGAATTACTGAAAGTATTTCCTTCTCTTCATATGTTTACTATAACCAGCAATGAGCCAAATCATTTAAGCTAAAGCAACAGATAACGTCCTAGGCTATCAACAACCGTTGTATAAACTAAGAGAATCCACAATATGAAAAGTCAGATTTAGCCCAAAAATGAATAGTAAAGCATACAAGATAAGAATCCGGATCCGAAATCTCAGGCATGATAACTTCATGTTTAGCCTGTGATGCTATAATTATTATTTTTTTAATAATGTAAAATACCAACAAGTCCCAGATGATAGTTCATAATTTTAATGATTTGAGAACCAAAAGCATAACCATGCAATGGAAGTAATCCTCAAGTAGCCATCAATACTAGATTCAGGGGATTAATATTTTGATATCTGATACCTTAACCGTGAAACCATCAACAACAACGATATAAAATAGGCTACTCGAATCTCAACCAAAGCTAACCAGGAGAATCCCATGGTTCAACGCCAAAAGGGTTCACTTCAGTGATGACATTGTTTGGAGTGGGATCTCCAACTTTCCTGCCTTCCAGGTACAGTACAACTTCATCATCAGTTGAATTGATGTTAATGTCCATTGGGACAGACTTGGATGCTGAAGGATATAAGTCAACCCTGGTTTAACAAGGCCGAATAAAGGAAGGGGTTAAAATACAAGTGCAACAAAAACTTCCTAAAAGAACAAATAAGCACGGGAGAGGATAGCAAGGGTGGACAATAATAAACCGTCTCGCTTTTTATTTTGCTTGACAAGCAAAAACAGAGTTTCTATAGATGACAATAACACTAGAGAAAAATGGAATTTATAAGTCGTGGCAATCCAAAACGTCCTTTTTCTTTGCTTGCCAAGCAAAACAAAGAATCCTAGCTAACAGCAACATCCGAAAGGGGGAACGCCGAATCTGGAATTTTGAAGTGGATAGATAACAAACGCAAGCGAAAAAACACCATCAATTGGAAATCTTAAATGAATCTAATCGAACAAACAGATCCTTATGGTTCCTGTCCTCTGTTCAAAATTCACACGAATCAAAGGCCAACGACAAATTACAGAATTAACATAAAAAGCTAAATTTTGGTCCGATAACATAAAACGGAATCTGTACGCCAACGCATCCATAACAATCGACGAAGACCATCAGCAAAGGCCCAATTTGCAACCACAATTCGGAACAATACCAAATACCCTAGACGACTCCGAGAAAGCCACTAATGGGTAACCTAACAATTCCCTCAAACCTCTCATAAAGCCCCCCACAACGATCCGAAGAAACAACTCCACGGACCATAAGAATCCACAAAAACAGAAATCAAAGAAACGATTCGATGACGATGGTCGGATTATTTCGAAATATCAATCTCCAACAGCTCAAACTACCGAGAACCGAATGAAAGGAATCGAAACCAAGGCTACGAATCTAACCTGGGGTCCGGAACTCCTCGCATCGATATATCGAAACGCTGAAGCGAAGGCAAGCGCGCCGGCCAGTGAGCTCATTATATAGAGCGCGAGAAGCTCTTAACCCGAGGGGTTAAACCCATGGTTAGTTAAAGTGGAGCGAATAGGCACTCCTTTTTCTACCCTCCGATTAATCTCTACTCACGGAGCCGCCGCTGTTTGACGTCATCCGACATGCCATCGGTACGCCGTTGAATGTGATCCAAGCATATTTTGGGTGCATATTATAATAATATAATAGATATTGAATATATATATATATTCGATTAAATTGATGCCGAACCTATGACAAAGTAGTTTATATAATTAAATAAAAAAATCCGAAATTTGAATTATGATGTAATCCGAATTATGCTTATGATTACGATAGACGACGTTTACAAAACTGACGATTTCACTTCCACACGTCTCTCGACGAATGGGGTCCCTCGGAGACCCAAAGATCCCGTCCGTATATGACAATTTTACCTGTCACGCGTGAAAGTAGACAACTGGGCCCTGGTCGGTGGAACGGCGGGGCCCAGTCCACCTTGGACCGCACCAAGTCACAAGCTTCTTCCAGTGTGAACGGATCACTCACGTGGGGAAGAAAAAGGACGCATGGCGAATCCCGTCCCAAAACTGCGACGCAAAGGACGTCTATTGGGATAGAAACGCGATGGTGGATTGTAACCCACTGTGTTTGATTAAGACCGGTCATGATAGTTTCCTTTAGCGAATTCTTTGGATGCTTATATCCGTCTATTTTTCAATCGGTTTTATAATGAATTCAGGTACAATTTGACTTGGGTTGAAATAAAATTATTATGAGCTCCATCCATTGTGGAATGATCGTAGCAACACGTTGATTTATTTGTCGAAATCGTATTTAATATAATTTTTATATGTTAAATATTAATCTGATACGATGATAAATCAGATCAACTTATTAAAAGTCGAATATATTTATATATTAAAATATTAATTTGATCATGATGTATCATAGCTAGTAAAGATACTATCATATTCTCATGAACTCGGGGGATCTAATCCGGTCTTTACCATTTAAAATGAATCGAACGTTTTCTATCATGGTATGAAAGAGATTGTGACTTTGAATTATTTTATTTAAGCTCGATCGATGAGGATCTATAACTTGGACATTCTTCGGCTGACATTTTTTAGACGTTGTTTACTTTTAGATCTCGGTCCTAATCGCACCCGATTGCGTTCTCACTGGCTCGCGAGTAACACGGTGCAACGTGTTGCCTCCGTTTGACCGAATGGACTCACTGTCTCGGCCACTTGTCCTTGTTGACTGCACTTGATGACAGTGGTCCGCCAAGTACAGTCGTCCACGTGTTCTCCGATTGAAAAGTCTGTCTCACATGACAATATATATTATTTATCAGCTAAACGAATTAGTGTTTTAGATAATTTCTCTAATTTCGTAGGGAAAAAAGAAAATATAAATAGGTGAAAAGTGAGGTTTTATGCCATATAATATCTTAATTATGAAATGACTATTCTTCAAGAGTAAACCGTGTGATATCTTAAGTGTGTATTATTAATCTCTTATGGTTCCGTAAGATTTATATCGAGAGAAATACAGGTTATTAGATCATGAAAACATAATAGAATGACAAAAGTATTATTAAAATCAAATTTTAATGTTTTCATTCGCACAATGAAGAGACTATGTTGGATCGATTCTTTCTATTGTAGGGATGGTAGATTCCTCTCTGAGATCAGATGCAACGAGGAAGGTTTGTTGAGACTTCAAAGGATTCAGTGGGTGTTTGATGATATCAGGACCAAGATGATGGAGGTGGAAGGTGTGAGTCAGTCATACCACATGTTTGTTCTCGAAGAGAATATTTATGGGGGCATCAGACCCACTCACTACCGCCAATGAATTGCCATTTAAGGCTGATAAAGGTGGTGAACGCAAAGGCTGACAAAGATGATGAGGGTGTGCAGTCTTAAAGACTGGATTTGACTGCTAAGGTTCATGTGCATGTGTTTGCTTGCTCGGTTAAAGACTCATTTATGAAGGCTTGCGATGAGTGAACCAACTCAAAAGCAGCAGCACCCCATCAAAGAGCTATGTTCTCTGAAAGACTAGGTTTGACTTCTGCAGCTTGGTGTCTATTTGATCTCTTTTTGTGGTTTAAGCCAAACCTTGCATATTTGATAGCTTGTCTTCTTCCCTAGTGATTCTTAATGAGGGTCAAGTGAGCAATCTTTCATCTCATCGATGTGCTGAAAAATGTCTAGCCTGACAAAGTTCTTACCAGCTTTTGCATCAAACCACCAAGAACTCATGCTCAGCAAATATGATTGGGAGTACCAATGTAACATGTTACTCTGCTCATGGTGATATCTTGGTTTGAGAGTTTCTGGGGCTAAGTGCTCAAGTTAAAGACCTAGTGCACTTCTGGGCTATATTTTAATTGAGAACAGCATCAGATTGCAGTGAGGCGGGAGCTTTTATTTGCTTATTGCTAGCTTCTCTCTCCTCTCTCTCTCTCTCCCTGATATTAGATTTTGTGATATGTGATCATTCCGAACTCCAATCCTCTTTCTTTAACTATATTGTTTCTCTCTTTCATGTTGTAGTTGCATGACACAGGACTGAAGACAGTGCCAGAGGGGACAGCCTAGGAGGCAGAAGACATATAGAAAAAGGAGACAGAGATATTGGATTTCAATAAGGAGAGGGATCATAATATTAAATTGGCCTCTCGGCATGCAATATCTGGATGAAGGATCTCAGGCCACTTAGATTAGATCCTTCAGATTAACCATGTCAAACTTTGTTTTGGATAGACTTTGTCCTAGGAAAATACAGGCATTTGAGTTTTTATCTAGAACTGGTTTTTGTGTTATCTCCTTTTAAATCAAATCTAAAGAATCTTAGAGCTTCTCAAAATAGTGGAAAAGGTGTCCATGTTTCTCTTTCACCAGTCCTTAGCTGTTGCATCATGCTCATAGTGGGTAAGCTTGCTATGTATGCCTCCGTTTGATCCAAAAATGCTGGCAGTGCCAGTAGTAGAGAGCTTGCATCTTATTCCTTTGTTTATATTAGGGTGGCTTTAATGTCACTCACTGACTCACATGAGATCCCCTTCACAGCTAGCTCATCAATGAGCTGTTCTAGGCCAAGCTGGTATTGAAAGTGACCATGCATGAAGCTTATTTGGACAAGTGACATGTTCTGGTAGCTCCTTCCTCTTCCATCATTCCATATGCTTTTAGGTCACTGATTCTTATCTTGGAATTTATGAACTTGTTAACTGGATAAGGGTTCTTAGCCTGAATGTGCATTTCGAAAGTACACCCTGATGGTTCTATGCATGTGGCTTAGAACTGAGATAAAGAAGTGTTGTTTTGTAATCTCATGATGACAGTCTGGATTGCTGTGGATCCTCCATGGGAAGGTGGGAGGTGACGATTGAAAAGGAGTTTGGTAGCTCCCTCTGATGCCACGGAAAGTAGGTATGGGCAGATAACCCACAAGCTTCATTTTGTTACTTTTCATTCATGAGAGAAGAAGGAATAAAGAAGGGAAACAGAAGGCTATTATTTATTTCTCTCTTTTCTACTGCTCAGGTTGATTGCTTCCCACTGCAATGACATGACAAAAAGGATAATAACAGATGAGAGAAGTACAACAGAAGACCAAGCAAGATTTCTCTGAGATCTTCAGACATTTATCCTTTTTGTTTCTTCTTCTTGCGAGCAGATGGTCTTCCCGCCTTCTTTCCTTGGTACCTGTTGATACAAAGTGCACAGGAGTAAGTCAAAGAAAAACTGTGAAGAACTGAAGATTTCTTTCACCTTTGAAGATATGTAGATGAAGAATATGGAGATCACTTAACTGGTATTGAAGGGGTTGGTTTCACAGGAGCAGAGGATTGAAGATAGCCGCCCATCTGCTTCTCCACTGCATGATTTCTCTGCCATGATCTCATATTTTGTAGTCAATGTAACGCAGCAAAGAAGAACACTGTCGAAGAAACAAAAGTACCAGAACCTCAAATGCACCTTAAAATGAGTAGCGGAGAAGCCACAAGAGAACTCCAAAACGCTTGCAATGGGTGGCATCATATGGCTGCCGCGGCTCCTGTTGTCGTCGCCGCTAAAGCTACTAGTCTGCGAGGTAAATGAACCCCAAAGAGATCAAGGAAACAACAAGGGTGAGATCAAGACTGAGAGCGAGTGTCAGGGAATGGAGCATGCCTTGGAAGAGCTGAAGGGAGGGGAGCTTGCGGTGTCATCCAGAAGAGAGGAATGCTTCCCCTGTTGCTTTGGTTCGACTCTCCTCTTTTTGCCACCACTCATGGCCAATTCAGCTGTTGGAACCAAGGCAGAGCAGAGGCAGCCATTGCCTCCAAAGCAAGTGCTGGAGTGAAGATAGTAGAAGCAATGCTCATCCTCTTCTTGAAAGTGCGGTGGCCCAGAGGATGCATCAGAGACCATGGATAGGTCTTCCTCCTCCTCCTCCTCCTCCTTCCCATGAAAGAAACCACCTATGTTATAGACAAGAGGCTCACTGGAGGAGTGGTCTAGGTAGGTGGTCCAACCAGATTGACATCCGCTGCTGCACTCTGAGCTAACATCTTCCCCTTCCCCCAGCATTACAATATAGGAGAAGCACTCTGGCAAAAGACAGCTCCTCCTCCTCTCACCTCAAGGACTAGTTTGAAATGGAGAAGATAGTGGCAGTGGCAGTAGGCGTAGTACAATCAAGATGCGACTGGAAGAAAGGAGGAGGTGGTGGCGGGATTGGGAGGGAGACTGGAGGCAGAAAGAAATGAAGAGCATCAGAGCCAATTCCCAGACTAGTTTTGTCCCTGTCTCGATGGCACCCCTCCCACCTCCTTGCTTTCCTCAGTGCACATGAAAATTAAGACTGCCAGTTGGGCACTGGGCGCGCTTTGTTGATGAACCTGCACAGTGAGACTACACAAACAGAGACCACAGAGCGAGAAAGAAAGAAAGAGAGACTATGATACAAAGAGAGCTCTCTCTCTCTCTCTCTCTCTCTCTATTCTCTTTTGGTGTCCATCACACACATGCACCATCGGAGGGAGTCTTTGCCTCTATCCGTAGAAAGAACGGAGGCACAACGGCTTCACATGCGATACAGCGAGGCAAAGAGTACCACGCTACACCGGTTTCATTATTTGCGTCCAGATCCCGTGAACGGAGGAAACATGGGAAGGTGCAGCCTATAACTCCGCGTACGGCCTCCAAATACCGCGTCATGGATTAGCCTCTTTAATCCCCCCTCCTTCCTTGGGGCCTTTGGAATCAGTAACAGTGTTTCTTTGCTTACTGGTGTAGAAAGAATAGATACAGACACAGATCAATAGCAATTGAAATGGAGTACATTGGATATTTCGACCTTAGCTTCCACGGCTTGGTGCCATCCATTGTTCATGAGAGACACAAGAACATCAATGCCTGTAGTGCGTGGAATCAATCCTATCCCTTCTCTCTTCGTTTTCTGTCTTCAGAATCTAAACCATGCTGTGTTCGCAGTAAACTGGTGGAAGTAGATTAGCATGGCAAGAGTTACTGATGATATTTCTGAAGCATAAGGGAAATATTCAAAATGCATCGCATGTAACAATGTCTTGTGATTCCCATTTAGTACACGCAGAGCAGCTTATAGGACTTGAGTATAACAATTAAAGCTGTGTAATATATGGAGAAACAGAGAGAAGGAAGGATCAGAAAGAAAGGAGGCAAAAAGTTTCAATGAGGAGGTAAAAAAAAGGTTTATTGATATAAATTGCATTTATGAGGAATATAAATACTGACAGAAAATACTTAAGTTAATGATAGTAAACTGGGAGATGATATGGGACCCTTTTGACTCCTTGAAGCTCAAGTCATATGTGCCATAATCATCAAAATGATGGATCCCCTTGGTCCTATCATGGGACCAAGAGAAAGAGGAAGACAGGCCTGTGCTGCTTGCTGTTACCCCTCTTTGAATGCATCTGCACATGATGGGGGACTTACTGCCCCATTTTGCCCCCAAAGAAAGGTTGCCATTGCTCCCATCTCTTTTGACTTACACTTGAAACAATCATGCTTCTTGAGGTGCCTGAGATGGTATGCAATGATGATGAGTTCATTCTGGTGATGGTCGACAGTCATACGTGGGTAAAAGGAGCTGATAGAACGTAAGTTTCAGAGTTATATCAGCTCTAGCAATGGCGAACAGAGAAGATTAGTGGATCAATCCTCAACTCTCAGCTCTCAGAATGAGAGCAGAAGGCAATAATGATATTTATCTTTGGCATCTATGGCAGACATTGTGATTTGTTTCACGATATGACTCCAACCTTTTCCCAATCATTTAATTGTCCTTTTTGGGGCAAATTGCCACAAAAAGCTGTTATTTTTTGAAAAAAAAATCTCAGTTAGTTTTTTTTTCTTTTTTTTAATGATGATATTACATAGCACCCTTTTTTTTAAGTCCTCTTTTTTTTAGAAAAATTCTTAGTTAGCACATTTTTTTAAAAAAATTTTGTATATTACTCATTTTTTAAATGATGAAATTGCCTTTATCTCTGCCCATTGGCCACCGCTCTGTCTCTCCTCTCCTTTTCCTTTTTTCTATTCTTGTTTTTGCCCGTAACCCCTTCACTAAAGTCAACGATGGGACGATGAAGATGATGAGTAGAGAGGTGACCTGTAGGTCCTTGCCTTTACCCATAACCCCCTCTACCAAGATAATGATTGAGGTAGTCAACAAAGGAGAGTTATGGTGAAAGCAATCGGTCATATAGTCATAGTGTAGAAGGGGCCATGGGTGAGAGTTCATGAGTCGTCATCGACAACGATAAAATATGGTAGGGGGACCTATGCACGAATGTATAAGCGGGGCTAGGGGAAGAGGTGATGGCTAGTGAGTAGAGACAAAATCATCTTTTTTTTAAAGAAGTTGTATTTTCTGAATATTTTTTAAAATGAAGGCGTTCTCCAAAAATCTTTGAAAATCAGAGCACTTTGTAAAAAAAAATTCAAAATTAAAAGTTCTTTAAAAGAAAATTACCCCTTTTTCTTTGTCAAAAGAATAAAAAGAAGCTTTGCTCATTGGAAGACGTCTGAACTCAGATGAATAAGTGCAGACATTACCACCACCTAAATGCATGATTGAGCTCATGATTCAAGAATTCCGCCTCCATTGTCATGATTTCAAATGCCAAGTGATCACCCAACAACAGATGCAGGACTTCAGTGAAGCATCATTTCAACAGCTATCATCAAAGCAGACTCAGAAAAGTGGTGCGGCAATGATCTGATCCACATGAGGAAGAAGCTATGACAAAAAGGACAGCTTTGCAAAGGAAAAGCTCAATGTTATATGACAGGTGGTTGCACACAAGTCTTGCAATCTTGCAAGCAGTATGTCTTCAAACGAATAAATAGAATAAGATACATTTGAGAGAAGGTCTTTTGTCATCGGCTACTATGACTTCAGCATGTACATTGAACATGATGAGGGGAAAAAGACGGTTGATGTTTGAGGTGCATGAACTTGTCGACTACAATCAAAGGTGATCGATCTCTTCTTCATCTATTGTCTCTGCCACTGTCATCTGAGAGCTCGTGTAAGAAAGAACTCCACAAAAGAGACTTCTTTAAACAATAAAAATAAAACTATTATTATTATTATATATATTTTTTCTTCTCTTAGATTGATATATTTGGTAGAATATGAAAGATATGTATATCGTGTGACATGAAATTAGCTTATTTTGACATCTGCTCTAATAGCAGACTGCTTACTGCTCACATATCTTACTTTAGTAGGACACAATAAAGAGGCCAAACAAATTAAATTCTCAATAATTTGACAAATTATTTCGTTGACAACGGTGTGTGACACAAGTCAACGTGGCTCAGAAATTTTCTTTTACCAAACAAAATTAAGATATGCTACCCTTAAAAGGAATATAGGATTCACCGCTTGCTTCATAATGTAGTAAAATAAGCAAGTCTTGAGGGAGAGAATTTTTGTCAACTATTTAACAACCCTTTGAGTTATTTTAATGATACAAAAATTTCTCATTTATCATACTATTAACAGCTGCTTCATAATATAATATTATTATATGCAATGCTGAAACCTTCTGCTCACAAATTGTTATTTTTTGAAAAAAAATATAATAAATAAAGGATAATTTATCAAAAAAATAATTATGTGGTTTTATTAGATGGCGCTCCATATTTATTTATTTTTATCAGGGATGCCCCTTTGTTTAAAATTTTAAAAGTACTCTTCAAATTAGTTTGATCATTTTTTTTAAATCGGTTGGTCGATCTAAGAGCTAGTTTAGTTCAATTGTGATTGCGATCTTAGTCAAATGGATCTGGGTCGAATCCTACAAAACATATCTGATTGAGTTTGAATCAAAAGATAAAAGGTTTATATGAGGATTACACCAAATTATTGTAACTCTTATGTAATTGATGGCAACCAATGCTCCTCTCCCTCCTTAGCCCCTTTAATGAATGATAATGACATCCTCTCTTCTCTGGTAGCAACGAACTCCTTTGCTCCTTTTGATAGTGAAATCTTTTGCTCTTCTCTAATATTTACAAATAGCAAGACCCACATATTGTTTCCACCTCCTATCTTATTGCCAACAATAATCATGACCCCTGACCCTTTCCTCTCTAATGATAACTTGTTGGCAAGAAATTAACATTGATAGTATCGCTATCGTAGTCATTAGCAAAACCCCTTCCTCTCCTCTTTGACGACACCCACCTGCTATTGCTATAAAGAAAGCTAAAACTCACTTTATCCCTGTTTTATATTGGTAACAATAATGACGATGATAACAACTACCACCGATTAAAAGGTCGACAATAATGATCTTCTTGCACATCTTTGTTGTATCGATGAAATAGATAGAAAAGTGATTTAGAAAAAAATGAAGGACAATCTAAGCCATGATAATAAATTAAATACTTAAAATTTTTTAAACTAATTTAATATGATTTAAATCTAATAAATCAGTTCAACCTAAATAAACCACCAACCAACATCTATGAATATTGGGTGTCTTTTTTAAACTTTATGAAGGGTCTTTTGGTCCTATATGAAAAAAAGGGCCGCTCTTTTATTAAAAAACTCATTAAGAATTTTTGGATAAATTACCCATAAATAAATAAATAAGAGGAAAATAAGTTAAACATATTTGCCTCTACACGGACAAAAATTAATTGAACCACGTGTCAAGTGTTGCGTCATAGAAGACCCTATCCGGGATTCACCTTATGAATTCTCGCCACAAAAAAGAAAAAAAATTGAACACAAAATACTTAATAAAGCAATTCAATCAGACAGAAAAAGCACACAAAAAAAGAGAAAAAGAAAAAGAAGGAAACAGTTGAAGACATATCAGAAAAAAATGCAGTGACGATATAGTAAGAATCAGGATGATCACATATCACCATTGCCTCATAAAGAGATCGTACGCACAAACTCGATCTTCCATTCGTTTCCTTCATGCGTTCGATATCAACGGTTCAGATCACAGTTTCCTATGCCTTTACTCGTGTGCAGGGCTTGAGTCGCGGGATGACATGCCCTTATATGCGGTGAGCCGGACGGAAACCGAATAGAGGTAATGAAACTGACCCGACAACTGCCTCAATGGCTGCTACCGCGACTTCCGTCCTCGGAAACCCTAACCTCGGTCTCACCAAGCCGCCGCCGTCGGCCTTCTTCGGCGTGCGAGTTCCTCCGAGTCTTGAGAGGCCGCGGCGGTTTTCCTCCGCTCCGCGGCCGGCGCTCGCTTTGGCCGTGTCGTGCACGATGACCAATGGGGCCACGGTCGTTGAGGCGGCGGAGAACAGGACGCCCGGGGTCGGACTGAGGCCAGATCCGTTCGGCCGCTTCGGGCGGTTCGGGGGAAAGTACGTGCCGGAGACACTGATGTATGCACTCTCCGAGCTCGAGGCCGCGTTCTGGGCTGTCTCGAAGGATGAAGATTTCCAGGTCGGATTATGTTTTATCTGTAACTTTGTAGTCTGAATGGTTATACATGCTTCTTGCACCGTTGACCCACTCAAAAGATTTGGTCTTTGCCAATCTTTGGCCGCATATTATACTTTGGGTTTTCGTTTGATATGGATCGATTCTAAAGCTACTCAGTTGTGATGACGGGATTGCTATTGTTTATGAAGTGAATAGGATTTGCTCCTTTCTGTTTCATTTTTGGATTCGCTGTGTTATTTATTTTCTTTTAGAATAAAAAATTGTGCCTTCCCTTCTGATCATAAAAGATCAAGGAAGGATTCATCATTTATGCCTTATGGCTTGTTTTTTCTCTTTTTTGTCAGACAAATGGACTCTTTTGAGGTTTTGGATCATGATCGTGGTACTTTGTTTCATATCTTGATTTAGATTTGAAGTTAATAAGATGGTGCGAGGATCATTTACATTTTCATTGAATCTCATATATGTAGTTACCTGCATGTTAATCATTTTCGGAATAACCTGCATTGACTTTCTGAGTACCTGCTGGTTGAACTTTCCTATCATTTATTAGTATTGCTGCTTCACTTTTAGAGAAACACTGGTTAAACGTCTGTGACTCATCTTCTGTGAAAATTTCTTAGATGGAACAGTATACTAGAACTACTGGTCTACTTGATCAAGCCGTGTGACATGGGCTTCCAGATAATCAGATATCTAATCATGATTTTTTTATGTGAATCCTTTCATGTCAGATCATTTTCTGTCAGTTGAATATCCTTGGTAATCTTCTCATAATTCTGAAGTCGTTGTGGTCAGAGATGGACATTGTCACATTTACTGTTGCTGTTTTTTTGTTTGAACTGTTTTTTTACGGAGGAATGACTAGCTTGTTTAATGCATTCATTTCTTTTGCATTGGCTATTTGGCTCTGACCTTAAATTAGTTGAAATTCTTCTTGACTGTCTAGGATGCTTATTTAAAGTCTAAATGCTATAAAAACTAAATATTTGAGTAGAAATTTGGGGTGGGCTTTGTCTGTCTGCACTGTTATTTCAGACTTCTTATTACATCATGCAATGATTATCTATAAGTGTGACTCCTGCATTGTCTACTACTGATTGATTGCTAGGTTCACATTTTCTGGTTCCCTCATTCCTTATTTTAGTTTCTTTGTTACAGAAAGAATTGGATGGGATTCTTAAAGATTATGTTGGCCGAGAAAGTCCGCTTTACTTTGCAGAACGGCTCACAGACCATTACAGGCGCCCTAATGGTGAGGGCCCACACATTTATTTGAAGAGGGAAGATCTCAATCACACTGGTGCCCACAAGATTAATAATGCTGTTGCACAAGCTTTACTTGCCAAAAAATTGGGAAAGAAGCGCATCATAGCCGAGACAGGTGCTGGTCAGCATGGAGTTGCCACAGCTACAGTATGCGCTAGATTTGGTTTGGAATGTATTGTCTATATGGGTGCCCAAGATATGGAGAGACAGGCCCTCAATGTGTTCAGAATGAGGCTTCTTGGAGCAGAGGTTTGTATATATTATATGAGACATTGTACACAGTGGGACATCAGGTTTGGGGCAGAGGATTCGTCTAGCATCATTATCTTAGTATATATCAAGCATAACATGACATCGTCGACCATCATGCAATTGCATGCTTGCTATTTGGGAATAATGTCTCAAATTCAACAACCACAAGCTGCATTGTTTCAACACTGAAGTGAACAATTTAAGCAGGCACTATGATTTTCTGCTAAACAGTTGGAAAATTAGTGCCTTTTGGTTGCCGATATATGAGAATAGACCACCTTTGTCTGAATGGTTTCCTTCCATATTCTCATGACATCAATGTTGTTTTAGTTGTATATTCTCAAGTCCTTCATAAGATAACTCCTTTGGTTGCTCAGACTATACATTTGAGTCTGCAAATATTTTTCAAGTTAAGATATCTCCTAATTATTAAAAACATATTAGTGTAATCAATTTTTTTTTATTTGAGAGTTTTTTGTGATAATAATGCTAAGTTTACTGATTTTCAATTCTGACATGCTTATTAGGTTTTTTATTAAAGAATTTGATATATCTTGCTTCATTCCTTGGCTGGTATCGTAGTATGCTGCAAATTGGAAATTTGGAGATACATGATATGGGAGTCAATCTGAAAAGAGCTACAGTTTCCTGATTCTTGTGGTTGTTTATGGCATTTATCAATACATTAATGTCACCATGATTATGGTTAATTCCATGCAGGTAAGAGCTGTCCATTCTGGCACTGCTACACTAAAGGATGCCACTTCGGAGGCTATACGTGACTGGGTGACCAACGTAGAAACAACACATTACATTTTAGGGTCTGTTGCAGGCCCACATCCATATCCAATGATGGTTAGAGAATTTCATGCAGTAATTGGCAAAGAAACGAGAAAACAGGCATTAGAGAAATGGGGTGGGAAACCAGATGTGCTGGTTGCATGTGTTGGTGGTGGTTCAAATGCCATGGGACTCTTCCATGAATTTATTGATGACACAGATGTAAGGTTAGTCGGTGTAGAGGCAGCTGGATTTGGATTAGACAGCGGAAAGCATGCAGCAACTTTAACAAAGGGAGAGGTGGGGGTTCTTCATGGTGCCATGAGTTATTTGCTCCAGGATGATGATGGTCAGATAATTGAGCCCCATTCTATAAGTGCTGGGTCAGTATGATTCTGTATTTATTGGATCTATGCAGTTTTCAGTAGCATCATTGTTATATGAACTGTCAGTTAACTCGGATAATTTATTTCTCATATGATAGTTTGGATTATCCTGGCGTTGGACCTGAGCATAGCTATTTGAAGGATCTTGGACGTGCTGAATACAATAGCGTCACAGATCAAGAGGCTTTGGAAGGTAATAAAATTTATTAATTTCTGCATTTATTTTGTTCTATTCTAGTTTTAACTATATCCATTTAAATGGTAATGGTACCACCTATTCGTAGTGTGTATAATTGTGATAGAGAGGGAGTCAAATTATCACTTTTTCATAGTTTACGGGCCAACATATGGGTGCAGAAGGTAGCAAAAAAATAGGAAGAGATGGACCGTGGATAAAAGTAAAGAGGACAATGGGATTATATTATTCAAAATTTTACGTGTGAAGCATGTATTGAGATCATTGCTACCTTGACTCTTGTCTCAATCCTGATGAACCTGTGTTGGATAGTCATCATCTTCACACATTCTATGATCATATATCAATGACTTTAGATGTCGATAGTTGTGGTCTTCCAATAGTCAATAGAAGCACCCGTAGCCACATCAGAAGTGTTATAACCTTCTTATATATATATCCTCAGTTTCTCTTTGCTTTTTCACTGCTATATGATTTAATTAAGAAAATAGCTTTCTTCGTTCCTGTCTTTGAATCTGAATATCATATGCATGTCCGAGTTTGATTTATTGTCTGCATGTGTACGGACATTATACCCTGCTTAGACCCCGCATTGGTGGGAGCCTCATGCACCGGTTATGCCCCTTTTATGTATGCATACATTACACATATATGTGCATTTGACAGGGCTGGAAAAGATGAGTAATGCCCAGGATGTATTCTAGTAAAGCATTTAAGTGGAGGTGAAAGGAATTGATCGATAAAACATCATCTGATGCTGCAGAGAATTCAATCAAAGAAAGATGTGAAGTATATCTTCAAGATGAAGCTGATTAGTATATTAATCTAATACTGAAGCGTAATGATTGTTTTTTACCAGAAAAATTCACAAGTTTCAAGGACTAAGTCATTTGTGAGTTGAAGAGAAGTCGATAACATGCATGCAAAGCATTTAGGGATGTACCATTGACTGGTTTAGTTTGCATACAATTAGCAAAAGTCACTTTTTATGTGCTTGAACCTCCAAGTTTGGCCTAGTAATGGAGCGCCAGATGTGGAACAGAAGATATCTCAGAAACATCTTTAATCAGCTTTCTGCTACTGAATAGATTCTAAATAATTGGGATCAACTTCATGATTGCAGTGAATATGAACCCCTGCATCCTTTAATTGCTTGCATTCAAAGACACTGCTGCTTGTTACTAGTGTTCCTACAGCCATTTTCTGATTTTTGCTAACTGATGTTTTCCTGCTTCTGCTGTTGCTCAGCTTTCAAGCGAGTGTCTCGTTTGGAAGGTATCATCCCAGCTCTTGAAACTTCTCATGCGCTGGCTCACCTGGAAGTACTTTGTCCAACTCTGCCCAACGGCACGAAGGTGGTGGTTTGCTGCAGTGGCAGAGGTGATAAGGATGTCCAAACCGCCATTAAACATCTCCAGCTATAGAGCCCTTGTCAATCCTTATACTTGCAGCAGTTGGGTCTCTTGTAGTATGCGAACCTTGTTTAAACTGCTATTACCTATCAATAAATTCTGCTGCTACTCTGTATTACAGTGTCTTGTATTTTTGATGGAACGAACTAAGTTTCCTCAGCAATATATGTTCGAGTACTCAACATGCTCGTAGACCACCTGGTTAGTAATGAAATGACATGGTTTTCATCCTCACACACAGCAATTGCAGCGGTGAGAATATTCATCTCTCATTTGCTGTTTTTAGTAGTCTCTTCTTTCCACAACTCTTTTTCTGAATAAAACTAAGAAAAAGAATATCAGAAATAATTTAAGGTCGTGAAAAGTATGAATTTTATTAGGTCATGCTTAAATATGGCATGGTGTTAATATTTTAATCTTGGCGATATATAATGTACATATAATAAAAATATAAAAAATCACTTTCATGAAAAAAATTATATATATATATATATATATATATATATATATATATATATATATATATATATATATATATATATATATATATATATATATATATATATTTGTGTGTGTCCGTTTGTGATGTGGCGACGTTGGCCGCACACGAACGGAGGATATGGTTATCAAGGAAACCACACGGGGTCCACAGCAATCCCTGATCCGCTACCCTTCCTTCATATCTCGCCACCGGACGCTTTGGGCTCCCTGCTCCCATGGCGTCCTCTTTCTTCGTTCGCACTCAAGTATCGCCCATGACTCCGCTGCTGCCGGACGCCTCCCAGAGGTCGGCGTCGATGCCCACTATGTCCGAGATCATGGACGCCTCCCGGACGCAGGGCCTCCGCCTCCGCCTCCAGTCGCTGGGGCCCTTCTTCCGCGTGCGGGCGGAGGCCGAGGACGGGGCGGAGCTGGGGAGGGCAGAGGGTGTCGTCAGGCCGTGGGTCGGGGGCAAGGTGCTGCACCTGGACTCCATGAGGCTCAGCCAGGACACGCTCCGCATGGACCGCTCTATCTTCGGCTTCGGCCTCTTCATTGGTGCCGCCGCCGTCCGCCACGGCTTCGACCGAGGTTGCCGCCGGGCCGAGCTCCTCGCCATAAACGACTCGCCTCTCTTTCATTCCAAGGTACATAAGTAATGTATATGATATATCCCTCTCCCAAAACCCTGGTCATTAAACTGTAGTCAGCTATTTGCATTATATTATAGTGCTTTAGGGAACGTCTAAATTGCATGTTTAGCCCAACACACATGGAATTGCATACATGCTATAAAGTTCTTTTTCTTCCTTAGCATATATATTAATAAAATTTGTAGAATTTCACGAACAATCTTTGACATCTTCGCATATGTGGTAATAAACTCTAAGAACAAGTCGAATTCAGGAAATATTAGTAGGATTGAAAAGGTCATGAGGTGGAAGTATGGTTTGAGCAGGGAGAAAGGAGAAGGGTAACAATAGTTGATATATATGAAACAAATTATAAAAAAATTTAAAGCATTATATCCATTATATATGTATTGGGGGTTCATTATCTGTTCGCTGACATAGTTCTCCTGTTAGCTTGTGAGGTTTTACACGAGGATGGGATTCAAGGCGGTGCACGAGGTAGATGGATCATCGGTGGGCGATTTGGCTCACATGTTGGTGTGGGGAGGTAGAGGGACTAGAATGGATGCTGACATAGAACAGCTTCTTATTAAATGGGGCAAAAGATTTAAGTCCTAAAGGTGATGTAATTGACATCCCTGACATTTCTGTTTTAATTGCCAACAGTAGATTCATGGTAATTCACTCACATTACCATTTAGCTATGCAAGTGATCAATCCCCAAGTTGCAAAAATAGTCTTTTTGTCTAACAGAGATAAAACTGTGCATTTCAACCTTATACATTAGAAAATTACACTTTATGTTTGAATGAAACCACGATTTTGTATTAACAGGAGCAATGCACAGTGCACTATTATCTGGCTTTGTCAATCCAATATCAGCACTGCTCTTGGTTGACCAAGTATTAAAACCATCCTCTGCACCAAGCGCAATATTTTGGTTGCCTACAATGCCAGAAAACTCGAGAATCAGGGATTGGTTCAGAGACATCACTGAAGCAAAACTTGCATGATCATGGAAAAATTGCACCTCTGATAGAAAAAAAAAAAAAAAAGTCTTGTCTATTGGTTGCTTCATCAGTATTAAATTATGGCAGAAACTTTGCTAGCTTTCTAGAGTAATATTCATGTTTCTTGAGAGAAGTGGCATTCTTTCTATTAAGAAAATATCAAATAAGTAGTGGACAGTTACAGTGTCATTGGTTGATACTCTTCCATTCAGCATAAGATATATTTACAAAATGAAGTTCCTCAACTCCTGAACACATTAGATAACCCTGCATGTAGAAAGCTAATTTCATTTTGTATTTATGCTCAAAACACATTAGAACAGGTGTTGCTCCTCGGTTGACTATAGTTTCATTGTTGTACTAGAGGAATCTACTTTATGAATGATTCAAATTGCAAGATGGAAAGTATCTCTTTGATCATTCCCTAAATTGATCGATTACATATTTTCACATAATTGGGGTCCTGTGAGTGTCTCATCATATTATGCTCCTGTGCATGCAATCAAAGAGATCAGGTGCAGAGAAAATGGAGAAGGTAGGTGTGTTTCATGGCACATTGGAAAGTAATGTGTATGTGTGTCGTTGCTCTGATCATCACTTTCCTATTCATAATTGTTCAGTTTCCTGTGGTTCCACAGACACCCCTTCATTGACTTCATTGATGCCATCATTTTCTGTTTTGATCTGCCATATTTCGGACGTGGGATTTCAATAATGTTAATATTAAAGGAGATAACAGAGCAATAAATGTATTTGTTATTTTCAAAGGTTTTTCCCCTATATCTTTGTGGCAAAATTAACTGTCTTTATGCCGTCATTCACTTGAAGATTTTAAACCATTTTCTAAGCTACTCTTCCTGTTCAAAGGTATATTTGTGCTTGTGGACAGCTGTGGTAGAGTTGGAAGATATATATTTCTTTTGTTCAGAATTATGAGTCTGCAACTCTGTGTCAACTTAATCATCTACTAATATTTCTTTTATTATTATATGGTCATCTGGACTTTGCCAAATGCATCATGATGAAGATAATCATGACCGCAGAAAAGTTAGGGTTGAGTTTTCATTAAATCGACTCGTTACGTGGAGAGTCGCGAAATATAGGGAGGCATAGTAATTGTATTGGTCAAAGACAAAGCAAAGACAAACTTAGATGAGATGATATAGTAGCTGAAAAGAATGAACACTCAGTAACATGACTGAAATAAGAGATGAATCATCTATGGAGCTTTTAGTTATAGAGAAACTTCAAATAGTTAATATGTATCACTATAGCTTTGGTGTGAATAGAGTAAACCTTTAGAGGCAATCAAGATTTGGAGATAGAAGCCAAAAGTTCCTCTAGTGAGGAAAGTGGAAGGTTGTGGATAGTCATGCTGTGAGTGAATGATATATATTTACAAACCTATGAAGTCATAGCAGAAAAACTAGATATACTTTTTCTGATGCAGTATGGTGTAGTTTTGTGAAGGCATGTTTGTAATCTCTGTCGTTTAAAGGAGCAAACATTATCACATTTTAGATAGATTTCGATGACTCCACCTTTTTCTTCTAGTAAAAGAAAAGGGACAGAACAAGAGAACCAGCAGAGCTAGTGAGTTCATAGTCATTGACATGTCATACGAGTGGGTAGTTGGTGTGCAACAAAATTTTGCCAGAAATCTAAAACTCATAATCTGTAATCACTACAAATCACAGAGTGCACATTGCCATTAGGAAACCCTTCTACTTGTCTAACAGCCAATTGCTACCATCTACAGCATGCAACTAAAGAACACTGTAGGCAGTACTTCGTTCTACACTGAGCTCTTCTGGTCGTTGCCTCCTTGCTTTGATGAATCATTAAATGCGAGTTTATGACTGAGCCCTTTTTCTCTCCTGTCCTCCTTGAGCTGGTTAAGTCTTAGCTTTTCATTTACTTTTCCTGAGAACACAGACCATTGGCTTGCAAAGTTCTGCGTGACTCCCCCTCTGAAGCAATCTTTCTTTTAGAGCCATAGGATTCATGCTTGTAACATTCAGGTCAAGCTACCCATTCGATTGTTCTCCGTTTCTGCTGCTGTTGTGCCTGTGTACCAATAGTTCTAAGCAGCAATGTTCCAGTCCTGCTTTGAATGTGTTATTAGGGGATGAAACTATATATATCAGCGACACCTGTTTACATACAAGGGGGGTGGAGAACATCATCACCCACATGCTGCTCAGGTCAGTACACCTCGCAAGGAAAGGAAAATTAACTGCAGGAGCAGGTGGTGGGCACTGAAGAAGTTCTCTGAGGTAGCCATTCAAGTCCTCGTTGTGAGTCAACTTGACTCTTCTATATGCTACGAGTTGCAGTGAACCTTGGATGCTTGTCATACTCCTGCCAGTGATATAAAGTGGTGGATGATCCATATATTAAACCAGTTTTAGCCAGGTTATCTTTTGTGGATACAGATGGACACTACTAGTTTTGAACTCTTGTTTTAGGTTTAAGGCTTTTTGAGCAAATTATGTACTGATGAAGCATGGTTTGGAATTGAACAGTGACTGGAATCTGAAGCTGGTGGCACGCCACAAAGCAGCAACAGGAAGCGCCGAGCAATTCCAAACACAGTGCAGCCGCCTGGCACAGCTGCTGCATCCGATAGCACCAGAAGCCTCTCGTTGCTCTGAGACCATCAGCTTCACCACTTCCAACACCAAGCATAAGAAACAAGTAAAAGAAGGGGGCAAGCATTCATGGACGAGTGACAATAGATGGGAAACAAAAGGACAACTCGCAATTCATTCCTACAAAGTCACTCGATGGCTTCTGTCCTCGGGGATGTGTTGTCTTCCTCCGGACTTTTTTTACTGCACTCGGCCGGCCTTCCTTTCACTTTGAGCTACGTCTTTTACCCCCTTCTCTGCCCAGGTCCTCAAAGCCATACTTCTATGAAGCTAGCTAATAAACCGTACTTTTGTTGCAGAACATGTCATGGTCCATTAGCATCCGATTTCCACTCGGATCATTGCAACCTTCTTCTCTTGCTGCTTGTCGTCGCAAGAGAGACAGTGCTGCCGGTGCCGGTGTCGGTGGTGCTCTCACAGTTTGCAGGTGATGTCCCGGATGAAGCCAGAAACGTCGCTGCTCTCGCCTTCTCCTTGTGTGACTCGAGAACAATGAGACTGTAGCAGGAGAACACATACTCCTGTCCACACAAACATGTTGGTGCATTAACACATGAGTCAACTTCTATTTCCTAAGAAACCAATATATGCATAGCTTATAGCTTCAGGACTTACGGCGTCCAACGATCCACAGCACGAGAGTAGACTCGTCTTGGATTCCACCAACCTTTTAGTCAACCTTGCATCCCATGCAGCGAGAACTGCTGCAGCAGCTATAGTTGATGGTTGGAAATCCACTAAATTCATCACTGCACTTATCGATCTTATGGTTTCAAGCTTCCTTTGGCTTTAAAGATCAATAGGTATCAGATTAAGCGAGTGTTACCAACCTTCCATAGCTGCAAAGATGAAGTCGATGGCTTTGGATATCAATCCCTTCTGTCCACGTTCATCAAACTTGGATGCGAAGACATTCAGATAAGCGAAAGGCGTGACGGTAAGCATCCTCCACTCTAATGTACTCAAGACAAAAAGCTCCATTCTCTGTGCTGCTTCGCTGCTGAATCTGTAGCCTTTCACTCGGAATTCTGAGACCGCAGGCGCGCTGTGTTCTTCCATCTTCGCCGCCAACGACAAGCATGCCACCGACAGCAATTCGAGTGCCCAGGTTTTGCCTTTCTGCTCCATCCATGAACCAGAAGCTTCAGTCGACAAAGCATTTAAACAGAAACAAACAATGGATCGCGTGCGGCACTGACCATTGCGTCAATGGTTTTGTGCGCAAAGAAGCGGTCAAAGTACGCCACCGCGGTGTACGCCGTTCTCAATCCGAATCGGAAACAGCGCTGCGCCTGCAAGAGAAACCGAAGGGGGAACCCATCAGGAACAGACAATCCAAGAGACGAAGGAACCGATCGACGTATCGACAGATGACAGCCGACTTCAACAATCCATCGAATGGCACCAGAACGAGCGGGGTCGCACGAGCTCTCGGGCGACGAGTCGCGAGTTCTGCTCTCGCGATCCTTCTCTCTGCTCAACAGCCACTCTACGTATTCGCCGTCTGCTTCCAGGGCGAGTATCTCGTTGCAGAGCGCCGCCATGTCATTCTTCAGGACACCGTCGTCGTCTTCGTCATCCAAACCCGGCCCGTCTTCCTCCCAGATAAGAGCGGATGGGGGAGCACAGTCACTTGACTCGGCCATCAGAACTGTTCGACGCCGGTCGTCGTGATGAACGGAGGACGAAGGAACAGGGAGGTGGGAATGTTTCACGCTCCCGCAGTCAAAATCCGCGGCAAATTTACCGCAATGGATCGAGGAGAGAGTGAAAGAGGATAATTAGCGCCATAGATGTAGCTAGCTGAGGAGGAGGAGCCGATGGAGGAGGAGAAGAGTGGCCTCCAGCAGCGCTTTTGCAATCGCGAGCTGTTGACAGAACAGAGTGAGAGAATAGACGTGGGGCCCTTCACCGCAGGCTTCGCCACTGAACCATTCGGAGGAAATGGCGGTAAGCCAATGAGATAATTTTTAGATCCGATCCAATATAAATTAATTATAAACAAAATAAATTATAACTATTTTTTTATAGTAAAAATATACTTTAAAAAAATGTAGTTGTGAAATGACTCTTTGCTTAAAAATCGATTGGCTTCATGAAATTTTAATCTACTCATTAATAATAATCAGTGCAACATCAAATGTGTGTATAAATCCTTTGAGACTGTACAAAAGTTACGGATCCATTATGAGAAAGTATAGTAAGAATGTCACATGAATTAGGCAAGATTGATTATACTGCATCTGAAATGGCACTTTACTCTCGTTATCCTTTCTTCTTTCGTGACAACTAATCACTCTCGTGTGAGTGAGTTTGATGCCAAATGACGTCTAAAATAGTTTTCATATTATATGAACTTTTGTTTCATCATCATAAATCTTTAGTGCAATCAGACTAGAGAACAATATGAACGTGATTTAACTCCAAAGATTAGAGTTTTGAGTCATATCTTGGATTTCGACAAGATCAAACATGGTCAGGGTTCTAATTATATATAGATAAATACTAAAATCAAGATGTATAGATAAATACTCCGTCAACAATTAAATAGTTGGCTACTCTCTATCTGTTGTTTTCCTTGTGTTGGATGCTAAAGGAAGAAGGTTTGTACTTCTTCTACTTCATCAGTTGCAGCTGCACCAGTGTGACTTTATTACATACATCATCACTCGTAGGCTAATAGACTTTTAATTCATGCATTTCTCTTTACGTACTAAACTGTCCTATATATATATATATATATATATATATATACATGTATGCAATCATCCTCATGTTGTCATAGTCACATGATCCTTCACCTTCCTCAAGAATGAAATATTTCCTTACTAATCACAATGAATTATCGAGAATCTAAGAAACTCGAGTTCGTTCGAATGAAATCGAATCAGGACTATCATGGGGACTGAATAATGTTTAAATGCAAACACTTAAGCTCTTATACTATGAGTGGTCCGATTCTTTGTCTTTGTAATATGGAATTATTCTTAGGTTCGTCTTGACGTTTATCTCATACACAAATGTTTATCTCATAACACATAAGATATACATTGGTCTTAAGAACTTTCTCTCTCTTTTGGAAGGAGATCGTCGCTTGACCATCTTGTTCCTTGAATGCTTGTTTCATCTGATCTGGTTGTCTCTCCTACACTGTGATCTCGCTGCTCATGCCCGATTCTTTCCTGTGCATGAGTAGTGCCTGCAGGGATATGATTTCTTTCTCAGTACTAACGTAAACTGATGCCCCTTACAGACGCATCCGGACATGCAGTAGAGTCCGGTGACCAAGTTTGATGCTCGTCTCCATGCTTCGGAAGACTGCATCAGGAATCTCATTGGAACGCAACCTCATGCAGCACAATTGTAGATGACAGACAGATAGGGAAAAGACTAGACTCGCATAAGATCCAAATCGAGCCAAGTTGGCATCCATCGGTCTGCTTCCCTGTCTTATTCGTGAATTATTGGAGTATTATTTTCAGGCTAGTCTTCAAGTCTTTTGGGTGACCTCCGATTTCGAACATGCCTCCATTACTGTAGTCTTTTGTCAACTTCAACCCCCTTCCTTGACTTGATTGATTTGTTTTGTGTTTCTCATCGGATGAGGTTTTAGTTTATTGCTACCATCAAGAACACAATCAATTGGACTTCTCGATAATGAACTTTCTGATGAATTGGATTGTGATATGAGACTAATGTGACAGATTAGGAAGCCACTTGAAGTGAAGTAACTATTAATGTCTGGTGTAAACTTTATATTAATTGCATCAGGGAGAGAGGAGTAGTCAATTCTTGAATCACATTCACTCTTCTCTCGGATTAGGATTGGAATACGCTATCATGGGCCTCGTGAATTGATGGCGAAATGCTCGAGGAAGAAACACTCGTATCATGTACGATCATATATTCGATTTAAACACCCACTATTTATTTACTTGTATTAAGAAGGTCTTATCGTTACCTCCAAACGTTTTATAGGCTTGTTTTGATGAGGGGATGTCTCTTGTATAAATTATAATATTTTTGTTTATAAATTCCTCCATTTTATTAGAGATTTTATTGATTTATTCTGAAAGGTGTGATATTCTTATGAATCTATATGTAATATATCAGTTTTCTCCTAATCCCGTAAGATCACCTAAGGATATACAAAATAAAAAAATATATTAGTAATTTAATGAATACATGGATACGTTAGTATCGAGTTGACACTAAGAGGGGGGTGAATTAGTATAGCAAAAAAATTAAGTCGGTTTGAAAATCGATAAAAAAATCAATTTCGAAAATGTGTTTGATTTGAAAGCATGTTCATAAATGTTAAGTAAGAAAAGCAGTTTGCAGTAAAGGTAAATTATACAAATAGAAATGCAAACCGAGTTTATAGTGGTTCGGTCGTCGTGACCTACATTCACTCCCGATTCCTTTTCCGTCGAGGCCATCGTAATCCATTAATGATCTTCTTTCAACGGGTAAAGATCAACTACCTTTTTATATCCCTCTTCTCCTTTTCACAGGTTTAGGAGATAATCTTTACAAGCATATACTCTTCTCTAAATTGAATTATAAACTTAGAACTAGAGGATAGGATTTATCAAGTGATTACTACAACGTTTTCTCACTTTTAAATTCTCTGCGCTTGTGTGTGCTAACCAAGAATGAGAAAGATGTTTATAAGCCTCAATTGGATTCAAACTTGGAGCCTAAAAATGTCTAATCCCCCATTTTCGGGGTACCAACGGTATCATCGCTTGTGCTGGTGGTACCATCGCCGGTGCTTTCTAACACTAGGTGGTACCACCACATGACATCGTACTACTTAGTGGTACCACCACTCAGTATGGTTGTACCACTACCTAGTAGTCTCTCGGAGACTGTATTTGGGCGGTACCATTGCCCGACACAGTCTCGGAGACTATGTCATGACGGTTCCATCTGTTGGGTCACTATATGGGCCTTTTACTTAGCCCAACATAGCTCCAACTTGGACCCAATTAGCCCTTAATTGAGTTGACTCAATTTCAACCTAATTATATGCTAACTATAAACTTTAATGCATACAATAAGCTAAATAAGTCCGATAAGTCTAGGTTTCTTCCAGCGAGCTTCCGGTGAACTTCTGCCGATCTCTCGGCAATGTTCTAGGAGACTCCCGACAAGCTCTTAGACTTCACGATGATTTTTTTGACGAGTCCCGATGAGCTTTTTTGGCAAGCTCCTGGACTTCTCGGTCAATTCTGACAGAACTTCCGACAAACGTTCGGAGTTCCGATGAACTCTTGAACTCCCAACGAAATCTCATTCTTGAATCCAAGACTTTATTTTGCATTATGCCATGATCGCTATATTAGTTAATTTTGTATAATTAAAACCTACCTCGATTTAAATATATAGACAATGTAAATTATAAAGATAGATTTTATAAATTTTGAATAAATAGATGATAAGGGTTCAACCAGCATGTCATATAAAAAATCACTACGTAGAAGTACCCTTATGACGTCGCTAAGAAATCAAATGACAAATTATCCTTAGATATTAATCCATTGCCACATCTAGCAATATGTCAAAATGAAAATTCTAAGGATTTGATGTTACTAACAATATAAAACACATCCCTATTCTATAAAATCTAAGTAAGTTACGGGTTATAATTTTTTTTAAAAAATAGTTTAATCTCACGACCACATTCAATCTCTCATAATAAGCCTTAAACAAATAGAAAACCTAATTAAAATGGGGCTATCAAATCTATATATATAAAAAAGTATTTTAAATACTATGATGTATGAACAAAATAAAAGTACTAATACCATCTCCCGTTTCTAATCCATTCTAAATCATTAATAGATTAAACTTTTTATGTAGCAATAGATACTACGTACTAATACCAAATCCAACAAATAACTTCATTTTATGTATGAAATTAATCCAAACATTTCTTAGACTTGTTTGCTTTTATTTTGGTTTCTAACATACAAATGACACACACATATATATATATATATATATACACACACATAGAAATCCATATTAAAAACACAACCATTGACAACATCAAATTCTTTGAATCTTGTATTTACTTATGAGGCAATAATTGATTAACCTAATCAACGTAGCATATTTCAAATGAAATGCTAAGTCTTCACTTGTCCTCCATTTGGCCTCCACTTAGTCTAGTGATTCACATTTCTTACCATTTGTGCTTCTCCGTACCATCACATCCTTTGATTAATCACAAGCTTAACATAAAACCATATTCTTTAGAGCCTAATTAATTTTGCTTATGGCGAGACGATCAACCACCCTATCTCAGTCAACCCAAAGCATAACTCGTACGTCATATATGATGGTAAGATCTACGTATTCCATGACGTCCATGTTCTTAAAACAAGTATGTCCTATGTAAATTATGAGTCATAATCTATCCCAATTTCGAATACTTTAACAGCATGCATGTTGCTATCTTACATCAAACACAATAAACTAAATGAGTCATAGAGATTGAGAGCACACAGTTTCTTTGGCTTACCTCCGTTTGTTTTCTTCAAATAATTCATAGAATTTTCGTTCTCTTCAACACAATAATCTCTATCGAGCTCATGTAGGTCTTCTCAATACCTCTCTCACATAATAATCAACTTAATGTAATAATTAGTGGATACACAATACTATGACTACTAGATTGGCATGAGATGAGATGTGAGACCTACGTAATTAATATTAATCGAGGTAGGTGTTGCACCAACCGGGTTTTCTTTTTCGGCACTATCCTTATCTAACTACATAAACTAGGTTTCCTAGCCAAATGAGTATTATTTAGCTTGCTTGATGAGTTTTTATCATCATCAACAACATGATTATGACAGTTTACCTTGATCGGTGGGTGACACGATCGTTGACCCAACATGTTGACTGTTGACTCGCCACGCTATCTCAATTATTGTTTCTTAATTTTTTTTCTAAATAATTTGTTCCTTTTTAGATATGCTCTGATTATGATAATTCAACTTTTCTTATTGAGAAAATGGTTTAGATACACATTATAAATTGAGAAAATCGAAGAGTATATGTATTGATGGTTTGGAACGAAAGTGTCTCGCATTGTTTTACTTCCCTCAATGATGGGAAATATCATTGGAAGCATTCAGAAATTTGGTGAAAGGATTTGGCTTTGGATTAATAGACGGATCAATTCATAGACCACTCACTATCCATAAAATACTAATCTCAATGGTCTATCGTCCCACCTTAACAATATATGAAGCAACCAACTAATGTCACCATCAACTCGGCTAACCATTGGAGTACGTGCTATTATATTTATATATGATCCAGACTTAATAGGTTATATGTGTGTGTGTATGTTAAAGGAAAAGCCACGTACAGAAGACATTTCTGTGATTGATATTAGAATCTCTATCCTCAGTTATGATCGTCTCGATCTGCATCACCAATTCCTATGACATGACAACCACAACAACGAAGTTGAGACTGTTGCTTGGGTTCATGTAATTTATGGATTTCGAGAAACCACAATATGCATATCCATACATGTTTACTATTCGCACGAATTGTACGACTTAGAGGGCGGGCGTCGCGAGTTGAGTTATGGCTAAAGACGCAAATAGGGAGTAGGTTGCCATTCACCATCTCCGTTCTGAGTTGAGCTCATTAGCGTAGCTTTAAATCCAAGTGATATTGATGATGATGGAAATTGCTGATAGTGGGGAAAGTTGATGTCGCGGTCGAGACATCAAAACGAGATTACTAATCTTTACGGCATGCAAGTGATGGATTGAAGTTTGGGTTCATTGCATCTCTACTACCAAATCCATTGTCATGGAAGGATTAGCCTTGCATCGACTCAAACCTGATTTGGTTTGGTTACATAGTAATCGGCAAGCAAGTGTTTGCTATTCTGGAGTGTGGGTCCCACGAGTTGATGAGCGTAGGCGCGGAGTGGGTAATCAGGTGAGTCGAGGAACGCCACGTCGGTGTGGATGAGCGGTCATCGAAGCAACGATCCATCTCCGAAGCGTTCTGTGTGCACGAATCCTATGGCACATTGAAAGGCTCGGAAAAAAAAGAGAGAAACTGCCGGGCCGGACCTTTTAGGGGAGCCGCGCACGGGTTGTTGGTCTTCTTTACGTTCTCACGTGCGTGTACGGTGCACACAAGATCCGCTCATCGGGACCGTCCGTTGACGGATGGACGGTGTACTGGGACCTGTACGTCACGCGGGATGCTTGACGTCAGAACCGTGACTGAGCGCTGCACATGGGAAACGGCAGGACGTGCGCGGGTCCCCAGGGATTCTATGTTCGCTTGTTTCGCGTGGGCGATGATACAGCGGATCGGCGTGTCGGGTGAAGCTGACAGCAGAAGACCGCATGCTTGCGCCACGTGCTGCCAGACGAAAGGATTGACGAGCCACGGTCGGACGGCGCGGACGAACAGCTCGGCTCGCCCCTCTTATTTGACCACAGGAAGGAAAACGATATTAGGATAATAACAAATATATACTAGTAATCCCCGCGGCCATTTTTAGAAGCTTCCACCGTTGTCGCTCTTAATCCCCGAAGCGAAACGGGTCCTCGTCGCGAAGATGCTACTGGTGGTCCTCGCCCTCCTCCTCTGCTCCGCCGTCGCCTCCGCCTCCGCCTCGGACGACCGCGCCGGCGGCCGCAGGGTCCTCCACCAGCCGCTGTACCCCATCCAGTGGACCCCACCACCGCCCCCTCAGGAGTTCGTTGACCCACCTCCGGACGAGTCAAGCAGCTTCTTCCCCGGTGTCCCCTCGACGCCCGCCGTTGCGGCCTCCTCCTCCGCGTCCAATAAGGTCTTCGTCATCGCCTTCTCCGCTTCCGTCCCCGCCCTCGTGGTCCTGTTCTTGTTGGGGTTCCTGTTGTACCGGCTAAAGTTTCGGAGCTCGCCCGAAGCCGGAAAGCTTGTCGGCCCCGACGGCAGCGGCGACCGGTGGGTGGACCGAAAGCCCGCTTCCGCGGCGCCGGATTTCCTCTACCTTGGCATCATGGATACGTCGGCGGTATCTGGCGGGCGGCAGAACGGATCCTCTTACGGAAACATCGCGACGGAGCGGGTGCTGGAAATGCATCACCCGAGCCCCGAGCTCCAGCCGTTGCCGCCGCTGAGTTCCACAGCTTCGCTGAGGGGAATGGTCCCTCCGCCAATGACGTTATCCGATGAGGACACCTTTTACACTCCGCAGCGGTCGGTGGTGTCCGCCACCAGCGAGAGCCCGAGTAGCCCGGCCTCCCGTAGGAGCCCCCCAAGTATTAACAGCGGAGAGCAGCAATTGTTGGCCGTGGCCGCGGCAGACACTGCACCCCGCTTTGCGGTCAAACAGATGATCCTCCCAATGGACCAACAACCTCCACCTCCATCGCCGCCGCAGCCACCACCATCTACTGAAACCATGGGAAGCATTGAACAGCCAATTAAAGCTCCGGCGACTCCAGTTGCGGCATCTTCAAGGCGTAGGTTGCTAAATCCACTTCCTCCTGAAGCAACACGAATCAACATACCACTTCCTCCGACGAAGCGCGGCGTTGGCATTGCCGCCAGTTCTTCGCATCAAGTACACGAGATGGTGGAGGAATTGGAGGGTGACTCGAAGCCCAAGTTGAAGCCTCTTCACTGGGACAAAGTTAGTGCGAATTCCAATCGAGCAATGGTCTGGGACCAGATGAAATCAAGCTCATTTCAGTGAGATTTCACCTAAAGATTTCTTCCCACTCCCTGTATGTTTCAAGTCTTTCAATACCATGACCGAGCATTAATCTCTTCGTCTTCACTTGGCAGGATGAACGAGGACATAATCGAGACTCTATTTGTCAACATCACCTCAAGTTCTCTTCCCAAAGCAACAAGCAGACGACAGCGTGTCCTGCCATTAGATGAGGAGAAGAGAGTGCTGGATCCCAAGAAGTCGCAGAACATAGCAATACTCTTGAGGGCATTGAACGTGACAAGAGAGGAGGTCCACGACGCTTTATTAGATGGTAAGGGTTCTATATTCTGCACCCAGTTTAGATGATAATTACTCTATGACTTCCATCGTAATCCTCAGTCATATGGAACCTGGGCCTACTGTAATGCAACCAAAATCAACTTGTTGCTCAAGGAAATCTACCAAATTTATAGCAGGTTCCTCTATTCTATGATCAAAACAATGGAAAGTTCATATGATTTACTCTGTTAACTAAGTTCATTTAACTATTGTCCGTGAAGCTAATAGGCTGTTAACTATGTTCATTTACCTTGTGGTTAAATGAAGGAACTGAGTTGACCACATGTGGCTGAAGGCTTCTTAGCATTGGACTAATTGAAATCTGCAAAGATCAGAAAATAGGAAGAATGAAAGACAAAGTAAAATATTCAAGAGAGAAAATTAGACAGCAAAGAAAAGAGGAACGGAGTATTAGGGCAGTGACCAAACAATCTTTGCTTGTTTATAAAAGAAATTCAACATAAATTTAATTCCAGGAGAGATTTTTGATCTACGACTTACTGTTTATTCTGTTCAGATATGTTGAAGGGAACATGATTAGCTGATCGATCACCCTTTTGTGGAATCCTGATCATCATGCAAGATTTCCCCCATCAGTTCAGGCAACTATGACTGCAATTCAAAATATTAAAGGTTGTGTGAAAAAAATCTCAAAGTATTTAACAATCAATTCAGTATCAGTGCTCAAGTTGTGCTCTAAATATAGGCTAGAAGAGCTTTGACCTAATTCATCAATTGTAATATAGCTTGAACAACTACATGATAACCCTCTGAAATTATTCTAAACTTAGTAAGAGCCTACGACAAAAGAAAGGTGACAACCTCAGTGTTGCAAATAGGTCCACAAGCATGTATAGAACAATCTCGTCCTTTTCCAAGTCTAATGTTGGGAATATCACAATATTTCATTCAAGGATCATCTCTGTGGATGACATTTAACAAGAATTATCGAGTTGGTGACCATTTCTGTGGTTCCAATGCATCGACCACCTTTCTTCTCATGTTTAGTAGTTGAGATGATATGGTTAGAAGTTAGTTCCCGATAAATGTTAACATCCTTGGCAAGGTTGTGGAATCAACAGCATCTAAAATGAGGGAATGCTGTGCAATTTAATCTTTGATGTTAATTTAGACATAAGCACCGGTAGCTTTGTTAAGTGACAATCAGACCAGATCTAAGTTTAAACATATCTAAGTAGTTACTGCTTTAAAAAACTCGAACGAAATCATATCTAAGGAGAGCCCAACCGACGAAGTACTACTGTCTACGTGGTTGGCCATTGTCCACCACAAACATTAAAGCAGTTAATTGAAGCCGCTTTGAATTAACTCATTACATCTTTAAACAATGAAGACCACCATAACTAAGTAATAGTTAACTACTTTGATAATACAAATAAACTTATGCAGAACAGTTTCATGTATCTGTCCAGATGATGATGAACTATGTTGTGGTTTTAAAATTTAGAAATGGAATAAAAAAACTACGAAGATCTAGAAGAATTATGTCATCATCTTAAGAATACAAGGAGATATATGTGAAACTGTGATCAACATCATACAGTACACCACATCCCCAGGTTCCATAAATTGTGTCATGTATATGTTAACTTGTTTAGATATCACATAAAAGATACTTCGAGTGTTATCATCAGATCAATGGTCATGTATCCTTGTTTTCATCAGCTGTTGCCTGTATAGGTTTGCTTGTTGAAATATCACAGAAGCCACTTTAAGTTTTGACATTAGATAAACGGATGATCAAATGTTTCTGAAAATCATGGAGCCTTATAACTTAGAAATGCTGCATCTACCAACTTTGATGGGAAAAAACATAGTTGATGATGAGTACCAATGTGATAAATCCTATGTATTATTGTTGACTTAAATATTGTTGGATGACCAAAGTTGTCTGCAACAGGTAATCCTGAATGCTTAGGAGCTGAGCTTTTGGAAACTTTAATCAAGATGGCTCCCACCAAGGAGGAAGAACTAAGACTGCATGATTACATGGGTGACATATCAAAGCTAGGTTCAGCTGAGCGCTTTCTGAAAGCAGTGCTAGACGTACCATTTGCCTTTAAAAGAGTTGATGCAATGCTTTACAGAGCTAATTTTGAGACAGAAGTCAAATATCTAATCAAATCTTTTGGAACTCTAGAGGTAAATTTATTGTATTGATGCTTCATCTTGAAATACAGGCAAATGTCTTCAAATTAGTGCTACATGAAACAAACCTTGAAAATATTCTATTATAATATATTATCTTGAAAAACTCTTTCTGTGCTAAATAATTATAATTTTTCCTATTTTTTAATAGTCAAACATGCATCACTAATTCCATACTTATCCTTTGACTTATAACATTGACCATCAAAGAATGGCGAATGCCTGATTCCAAATTATGATGTTTCTTGTTTCTTCTAAACTCTATTTTCAATAATTCGGCGCATTTGAACAACCATACCTGACATTAGATTTACTGAACATACTTTGGTAAATTGAAAAAAATATTATTCTACTTTCATAAGCATACCTAATGGTCATTGCCTCCTTCAAATGTTCTACAGGCAGCATGTGAAGATTTAACAAGCAGTAGACTATTCCTTAAGCTCCTGGAAGCTGTTCTGAGGACTGGAAACAGGATGAATGTGGGCACCAACCTAGGTCAAGCGAAAGCCTTCAAGCTCGACACTCTTCTAAAACTGACAGATGTAAAGGGAACTGATGGAAAAACAACCCTACTCCACTTCGTCGTGCAAGAGATTATCCGTTCAGAAGGAACAGGTACTGAACCATTGACAGTACACAATCCTACTAACAGTAGCAGGGAAGAACAATTTAAGAAACAAGGTTTAAAAGTGGTGGCTGGGCTGAGTAATGAGCTTGGGAACATCAGAAAGGCAGCAGGAATGGACTCAGATGTTCTTAGCAGTTATGTCTTGAGGCTAGACGTTGGGCTTCAGAAGATAAAATCAGTTTTACAGCTAGAGAAGTCATGCACGCAAGGTATGAAATTTTTTGACACGATGAAGGTGTTTCTTGAAGAGGCTGAAAGGAAGATTGATCATGTCAAGGCTGAGGAGAAGAGGGTGATGAATATAGTAAAGGAAACTACAGAGTACTTTCATGGAGATGCAGCAAAGGAGGAAGCTCACCCTCTTAGGATCTTCATGGTGGTGAGGGACTTCCTATCTGTACTAGATAATGTATGCAAGGAAGTGGGCAGATTGCAGGAGAGGACATCGATGGGTTCAGCTAGATCCTTTCGCATATCTGTCAATGCATCTCTACCAGTTCTCCAAAGGTATGAACAGCGACGAGTTGTGCAGTCAGATGATGATGATGATAGTTCATCATCACAGTACTAATGCAAGAAGATCACTTCTCAGTCATTCTATATGAAGACAATCAGGTGACAAGGAAAATGGTAATTTGTCCATCGGAAAAGATGAGCAAGGAGGGTGAAGAGAAGGAAATTTCCAATTTGCAGGCTCATGTCTGTAAAAAAGAAAAAAAGAACCTTAAAGGAAGGCATCATTGTACAGAATTTCACACAGATCAAAGCTAGGGAAAGGGCTCTCATCAGAGTACAGAATCGAGTTTGATCAACTCTGATGCGATTAAGTTGATGGTTGTAGAAGTTTGTACTTTGTTCCTTTTACATGTATCTTTTTCCTTGTGGATATGTTAAAATTAGATTGAAAGAGAACATCGAGGCTAAAATTGCCGAGCATTTTGAATTCAAGAGCCAGAATCAGTTTCTTCTTCTGCATATCATATCTTCATGAGAAATATAGCAGAGAGAACAGTGTGAATAGTCTTTCTAAAAACTTTATTTGAAAGAGATATTGATCCTTTGTCTAATGGTGAGGGAAGGAGTGTCTAAGTTCATCAGGTTGAATTACTCGAACTGATCCTCAACAAGCCAATTCCCTGACAGGGAATTGTCCAGCAATTTACTCCCACAACTATATAATCAGGATTTAGTTTGGTGATCCATATCCTGCCTTCAATCCATTATGAATAGTTCAAAAAATGTGGGTTAAGCAATCTTTCACAGAAACTGATCTTTCATGATATCCATCATCTGGAATTGGTCAATCTCAACTCTAAATGATGAAGCTTCCCGTTTAAATACAAAATGGTGGGTGTGCTTCCCCTAGGAACTGTTCATGAACGATCAGTTGATAGATTTAGATCAAGAAGAGCCTCAAGACCACACCTCCAAATAACTCGCTCTCTCTATCCGCGATCCTTAGCTTAACTCTGTGGTGGAGTGTGACCGCACACGCCCACACAGACAATCACCCAACCTCCCCGGCGACCCTTAGTTTAACTCTATGGTGATCGCACCGCCTCTTCGCCCTTTCCTTTGCTCCTCTCGGGACTCACCTTTCATTGATTTCTTGTCGCTCAAGTCTCCGAAACAAAAAAGAGAAAAAGAAAACCTAAATTTCTTCTATGACTTCAATAAGGAGAGGAAAACTGAACTAAATTGTAGAGAGAGGATAAATTTTTAACCTTTGAGGAGGAGGATCGGAGCAGCGGTGGCCGAGAGATCGTCGGAGGAGATGAGTCGCAACACGTGCAGAATCGTCCGCAGAGGCTGCAATGAATCCCGCGTGCTGCGGCCGTGCCTTCAATGGTCGAATCCACCAAGGCCCAGGCCCACATCTTCGTTGCCAAGTTCTCGGACGCGCTGCCCTCATGCCCTTCGTCTCCGCCGTCTACCCCTCCCAACGCCCAGGTTCGTGCCTACAAGTCACGATTTGATTCCAAATGCTCTCATTTCCCGATCCCTTCCTCCATTCTGACTAGTCTCTGGTTGCAGCTTTATTCCAATCTTTGCACCTGTACGAATGGTTCGGGTGAAGCATCAGCCCAGTGAACGTCGCCGTGGGCCTGCTGCGGACCGCAACTGGTACCTCTATCAAGCCACACTCAAAAGTGTCTTCTACGGCGGCACTACCCTCCTACTTGACAGGGTTCTCTTCATTCTCCGTGCTCGAGCGGCGGCGTGCTCCACTCGACGAAGACGATGCGGCGGCCTTTGATCCGGACCTGTGTCGTCGGTCCCCCGGCGGCGGGAGGGAGGAGAAGCGGCGTCGTCCAGCCACGCCGCCGATAAACACGGAGGGATCAGTGACAACTAGCGGTGAGAGACGGTGAGGCGACCACTGCGCCGTCGAGCTGAGAGGCTCCTCAACCTGTGTCTGTGAGGATTGGGTCGCATTCGTACGAAGCGTGTCGGTCTTCACAACACTCGCAAGCTCGGTCATTGTTGAGTGATTGCTTATAGATTGTTGTATAAGAAATGATCCATTCATACAAATCCTCTGTTGAGACATAGTAATCGTTAGTGTATTGTTGAAAGAAAAACAAAGATTTTATCTTTGTCCACTCACTCGTCACCTCTTGACATGTGCTCTATAATTTCCTCCTCTACGGTTTACCAAACCATCCTATATTCTTTTTCATTTGAATATTCATCATCACTATTACAGCATAGTTTCATTTGAATATTCATCATCACCATTTGGGTCGGCTGCACTGAGCTTCTGTGATCGACTATGTGATGTACTCATGAGCAGTTTGAAGCATGCACAGCTAAATGTAAATGAGATGCAGAGTGAAGAAGCTTCCTATTCTTCCCAACAAAAGGAAACAAAGGCATCACATACGTACACAATGAGCTTTTCTTTTATTAGCAGCAGCAGCAGAAGAAAACCACTCTGTCGGTAGGCAATGTAATCCCTGCATCAGAAAAGGCCATCCTTGTGGTGATACAAATGCACCGGCAAAAAGGGCAAAGAGAGAAGAAGAAGAAGAAGAAGAAGAAGAAAGAAAAAGGAGGAAGAAGGAAAAATACACAAATCAGCCACCCCAGGCAAGATAGGTAGGCATACCTCATGCTTTATTTCTCTCCAAACTCTCCGGTCAGAAGAAGTAGAGAATGATGTGATGTTAGTGATCACAAGGTTGGTAAGAGCATCTGCTCTGTATCTATATCAGGCTGGCTCTTCTCTTCAGTTGTATTAACTGTCCTTGCAGGCTACATTGCTTTATCTGGTTCATGAATTTGTGTTAATAATAACCATGTGAAACCTGGAATAGTGAAAAAATTAACCAGGGCCTGAAGTTAGACTTACACTCAAAGCTGCTCCGGTGGACAAGAGACCTCTGGATCGGTCAACTAGTGCTCGCTCTTGTGCAGCCACTTTAGTGATTTCTGATATCAGGTTACTCATTCCTTCAACCTGTACAAATGCGAAATGCCAATGTAGTTAAGCTAATTCCTGTGATCAGATAAGCCAGTGGTCGATAATTGAAACTATGCATTTGATATCAGAGGGGGCTTTTCTAGGCATAATACAGTAGAATGAATAATGAACTGAAGGTGGCAAATGAAAAGCTTCCACTGTGACATGCCAGTGAATTATAAGGACACAAGTCAGTCACTGAGATAGCACCATGTGATGCTTCATTTGTCATTAAGTTGCATGCTTGCATGTCTTAAAGCTTCTTGTGCCTCTCTCTCCCATTGATACATATTCGTATCCTTTCACCGTTCCTTGCAGTAAATCTGGTTTTATTTATGAGCGAATTTTAGATAAGTAATTGAAAGTTCTCATGCTTCGCAGTTCATATATGATTTGGTGCAACTGCTGGATTGAAAAGGTTTTCTTAGAAACATTACCTATTTTTGAGATACCTTCTGTGATTCTAGTCAAAATATAACCACCTTCAAGTTAAATGAAGATGGCAATGGCAAAGCAGATACTGAAAAAGCAAATTATTGGTAGCTAACAAACAATTTAGAACACACACTGGACTTGTGCTCCAAAAGCACCAAAAGCATCAAAAGTGATGATCGAAGATAAAACAAAATTACTTTCGGCCTGATGAAATATGACTAGATGAATGTTGTAGAGGCAGTTTACCTTGGACAATAGAGAGCAAATTGAGGATCCCATTGCCTGCATTATATCAAGAGCTGAACTAATTGCATCTTTAACTTCCAGAAGGTCAGCCTGTGAAATGAGACAACTATAGTATTTCCCAAAAGCTAGATTGATGTCAGAGTTCATTTGTCAACATGAAAAGCCAGGAAATACACAAACCTTGGCTCCACCAACTATGGGAAGACGAAGTGTGCTAGCCTTTAATGCTTTAATAGCTTCTGATAATGAGCTTAAGTGATCTTTCTCCATAAGAGACCACTCCTCTAGATAGGCCATCTGCATTAACCAAGTTGTAAATTGTGCAAATATACAGATAAGGTTTTATAAACTGATCCAATACGAGAGCTCAAGATTTGTTTTTTGCAACTTTACTGAGGTTTGGTTGAGTTTTTAATTCTAATGATAATTGCTTGTAGTTTCACATTGTGCAATTTCCACTACTTGGTTGCATCCATATTGTAGTTTGGTCAAAGTTATTGGCTTGATCTTTTTATTGAAAAGAAAAACTAGTGCATGATTTTCAAACCATGTAGGGTCTAGGGAGGGTTAATGTCTGCAAGCAGAGAGACATTTTATGATTCAAACCCTAGTCATCCAGGTTGCAAAAGAAAAACCTACCATGGTGATTCTCGAAGAAGCTAAGTAATTCACAGTTGCCAAACTGACCGATCCTGGAGAAACCTGATATAGGATTAATTATTTATTGTAAATTCAAGGGCTCCAGGACCAGTTCAAGCAACTCTATATTGAATTAAATTTCTGCGGCAAGATTGACAAATTTTTAAAACTGATAATTTTTTGTCTCAAGTTCAATACTCTATAGACATACTATCAGGAGAAACAATTCAACGATGAATAACTAGCTCTAGCTAATTTTGTCCATTATATTTCACCATAAATTACTTAAGTATTCTCAGATACTCTTCACTTGTGGTCTTTTAACATTGAACAAAGAGGGACATGATACACCTTTTGGCTCCATGGCTAGTTAGTTGTGCCTAAGAGATGATTGTCGTCCACTTTTTATATTCTTATCTTATTATCTACTTCCTTTCCATGATTCACACTTTTCAAGAGAGAAAACCTGGAGGGTCTCACTTTGGCATTTTAGCACCATGATATTGCATAATGAGAGAATGACTGAAACTTCTGAATGGCATATTTTACAGGCAGTTGGCTATTGATCTGACAATTGACTATAAAACTTGCTAAAAGTTTGATAGGTCATACCCTGATTAATCAGAATGACCAAAAGAATGATTCAGAGTGAAACTAAAACATACAAAAAGGACTTTCACAGGCATCTTAAAACAAAGTGAAAACTGAGAAACAAAGGCTTACTTGCTCCTTAAGAATGGAAATTAGCTTTAAATCTTGTTTCAGAGTTTGTAGCTTGATCCTTTTATTGGTAACGGAGTCACGCAACTCTTTGGTAGTTACCCATGCATCAGTCAGATTTTTCTGTAAGGATCAAAGGAAAGCATTAGCTAATATAACTTCACTGGTATAAATGAAAAAAAAAAAAGAAGCATTGGCTGATCAAAATAAGAGGGACTGAAAGCATAACTATAACATTTCGGACAAAATAAGCAAGCAAGAAACACAAAATTAAAGATGATGTGACCAGAAGGACAACTTAAAATTTTAGGCCAAGATTAGCAAGAAAAGCCACAATTAAATCAACATCTGATTTGCATGATACGACTTGTTGTTTCTTAAAACGCTAACCAGCCATCTCAACTACATCTATTACCCTAGCTTTTAATAAACATTGCTTCTTAATTGTTCAACTTTTTGATCCATGAAGCAATGGTAACACTTGCATAATAGGAGGGTTGTAGGAAAACTATGTATGGCTTTTTGACAATTGCATGATTATGTTCCAAAGTTTTACCAAATTTATCAGTTCTGTAATATTACAATGAAGTGCATGAAAAACATTACTGATCACCATATAAGTGGCACATGAGAAAAAGGAAAAAACTACTAAATTTGGTGTTTTTAGTTCAAATGTATAAAGAAAGCTAGATCTTTTCTCTATGAAAATGGAAATCCAAACTGAAATGACAACAAAATTAGTGTGCCAAAGGAAACAAGAGAAGTTGATATCTAAGCTAAAGCAAGCTACTTGACAGAAAAAACAATTAACAGGTATATGACATTTATGATCATATTATGCTGGACAAAATACATAAATAGGAAATCCATCACAAATTAGCTAATATATAGGAAACACTAATTTGGAAAAGATATTAACATCAACAGTACCTCTACAGTTAGTTTCCGCAATAACAGTGCAGCATCAAACCTGGCATTAACACATCGCCATTGTAAATGCCGGTTATCAAGCAGCCTCAACATGTGAGCCTCCTCAATCCGATTCTCCCCCTTCCTTGCTCTCCGCACTTCAGCAGCAAAGCTTATAATTGAAGGTGCATTGCCTGGTTGACAAACCAGTGAACTGCTCATTGATACATTACTCCTTGTCCGCAAAGGGCTTGCCATACCCCTTGATGGTGAAGCGGAAAGCTTGTTTGGAGAAGAAGGTCTCACGGGTCCACGGAGCGGTGAGGAAACTGACCTTGGAGAAGACAAGGGGCTGTCCATTGACAACTTCTTTATCACACCCAGCTTCGACTGTACCACAGACCTTGAATCCGGCGAAGATAGTGGGGAGCAAGTTTCGGGATAACGATGCAGCCGGCTATTCGTCTCCTGCCAAAACCTTGCTGGGACACTGATCCCTCTGGAAGTCACCTTTGCGCGCGGGCGCATACTGAATTCTGGCGCCCCCGAATTGCTCCCAGAGGACACACTATCAGTATCGGATGAAGCTGATAGGTCACACCCATCGAACGAAGCCCTTCTCGCACTATCATCAAACATCATCGACTGCTGGAACCTGACGGTGGCCAAAATCGGTTCTTTCTTCTCAGCAGAGCAATTCGAGATCCTCATCAACGGATTTGACGGCTGGGCTGTGGAAGAGGGCCATCGGTGGTGGTTTTCAAAGGGCTTAGAGTTATCCAAATGATCACCAACCTTCAATGGAGAGTCAAAAGAGGCACTAGCTCGCCGCCGCTCGGGAGTGGACTTCCTGGCGGGGCTGCGGGAGGCGGCCTTAGCGCGGCTGGTCTGGTAGAAGAAGGACTCGCACTGGAACGAGACGGAGAGGCTCCGGGTCGTCAAGCAGAGAGCGCGCGCGGCGGGGGAGGGCTCCGCAGGGGCCGGGCGGGGATCGGCGCGAGGCGTGGAAGGCCGAGCCCGATCGACGGAGTGGGACCGCTTCTGGGCGGCGGACTGGGGCAATACCGGCGGCGTGGAGGGCCGGGGGGCCGCCATCGGCGACGGGAAGCGCCGCGAGATAGACGAACCGCTCGAAGAAGAGAACGTAGTGGCGGTAGAATAGGAGGTGGAGGAAGAGGACGAGGAGGAACCACAAGATGAGAGGTACCGAGAACCGATCTCCTTGGTGCGAGGCTGCCTTGCGCCGGCCGCGGCATTGCTCTTCTCGGAGGGGATCAGCGGCGAGCGACGAGGGTTCTGGAGATCATCGCGACGCGGAAGGGGCGAAGTGTTCTTGTGACTGCGGGGAGGGTTCCGGGACGCGGCGGGGGAAGTGGTGGCGGCTGCCGGGACCGCGGCCACCATCGATCCAATCGTAGAGCTCGCCGCCCTCGGTCGATCTCTGGCTTTCCTCTCCAATTACAGGAAGGCGGTCACACAGGCGGAGCACCAGACTCCACCATCGGCGCTACTCCTTGGAATAAGGAGAACTAGAAAAGTGGCGAAGCAAAGGAGCGAGTGCGAGAAGCCCTGCATCTGAAGGAGTCGACAGAGGTTTAGTTTCCCTTCTAAGCCATTGTTAGCAGTCATGAATGCAATATATTTTGCTGTAAAGCTAAGATAGGATGGGAGTGTCACTGTGCTGTGCATGGGGTTGGTTTAGACATTGGCATCAGATTCAAAGCAGTAAATCTTATGGAGATTGTACATAAGACAAAGACGCAACAGTGATCACACATGAACTGTAATAAATGGGGCAGAGGAATTGGGTGGCTGCAATGAGGAGAAGGCAGATTTGTTTACTTCATTTTACATGCTAAATCTAACTTAGGAAGGCAAAGCTTAGTTTATTAGTCCTTCATCTGTCAACTGGAGATTAAAGTAGTAGCAATGTGAGTTGAGATCTGGAAGAGAGCATGTTGTTGGCCATACGACTCATTTCCAATTGTCTGCAGGCAGAGACGCATGAGGAAACAACACTCGTCCATCAAACTGCTCCATTTAATAGGAGGCCACACTCCTGACAGTAACATGCGTACCTCTCCTCTCACCAGTGTGTTAATGAAAAGAGACGAAATAACCTTACTTCCGTTCCACTGTCATGTAGACTCGAGCATTATAATAGCAGAGATAACTAAAACATTATATGAAGATACCCTAAGAAATGGATAGTTTTCATGTCATATTTCGTATCTCTTCTTTATGCTACTTTGTTTATGGGTAGATGATGTAAAACTTGCGTAGGGACGAAGTTGGCATCGGTATACAGGCGAAGTATGACAGAAACACACACCATAGTAATCATAATATTATTTCCTTCATGAGAACAAAGCAATGCGTATCACTGTCTTGTCTTGTTTGAAGGAAAACGAGACAAGATGGTCGAGATGCCAAACTATTTAGGTAAACAGCAAATCCCTGCCTCTGCCTTGTCCACAATCATGTTTTAGAGATTACAATAATGGTATCGACTGTTTTATTATTATAGAATAGGGTGAATTATAACAAAAAGCTCTTATTTTTATATTTTTTCATTGAGCATCTTTTATTTTAAATATATATAATTTTTTCATAAATAATTATTTTACCCTTGATCCGTCGTCATCTCCATCCTGCACTACCTCACGCTGTGCTTGCTCGCGACCTTCGTGTGAAGGAGGGTGCATGAAGGTCGTTACCACTTCCTTCGACTTATGTCATCTTCTTTTTGCATCACCTCTTCTCCCCTTCGTCTAATCACCTGTAATCTTTGCATAAGAAAGAAGGGGGATACAAAAGCTATCGTTGCCTCCACTTTTACTCCTCCCTCGTGCAAGGGTTGTGGTGTGAGTAATAGATCTAAAAGGAGGGGGCAACGATGCAGGGTGAAGTTGACAATGACAAAGATAGGGGTAAAATAATCTTTTTACACAAGGAATGACGCTCTATAAGAATTTTTCAAAAGAGGGGCACTCTATAAAAAATTCTAAAAGTATGAGCTCTTTTCAAGAAATCATCTTATTTAATATATATTTTAAAAGAATGAATTCTTAAAAAAACCTTTTAACTTTGAGAATTTCTAATATAATACCCTGCATGAAATGATCATTTTACCCCTACCTTTGTTAACCCTCCCAACCTTGCCCTTGCACACTTTGCTCATGACCCTATGCAAGGAAGAAGTGGGCACTAGTGCTATTGTCGTTCATAGCCTTCATGTGAGAGTCTACCACACATAGTTCTTATCGTTGCCACTGCTCGCAACCCTAAACCCAAGCTTGTCACTCATCCTCTACCTTACATGAGGCTATCTTGACCATCATTGTCATTGTGTATACAAGGGCAAGTCGATTGATGATCAATTAGGTCTGTAGAAATGATGACAGCCCCCGTGCCCCTTCCTTCCTCGTGCACGAGTCGCTAGCAAGAGTAATACAGAGCAAAGGCAATAGTAGGTTTGGTGGAGGTTAGGAGTAAAATGATCATTTATAGAAAAAAATAAATTTTTTGCTAGAATTTTTCAACGTTGAGGTGTTTTTGAAGAAAATTCTCCAGATATGTTTTCGTACGAATTCACCCTTTTTAAAATAAAATAAAATAAAAAATATAATATAATCTTTTATCATAGTAACACTTAATTATTCATGAATGAAAAAAGCGTTCAGATATATAAGATTAGCAATTTTTTAAGAAAAAAATTTTAACAAACTTTCAAACACAAATATATTTTTGGGATTTTCCTGAGAAGTGCTTCCATTTACAAAATTTCCTAACAGTATCTCATTTTTGGTCTAATACTTAAAAGATCTCTGATCTGATAGCTAACTACTTATCCTTTTTCTCCTCTCTTTCCCTTTTTGTTCTTATGGATCAGTAGATAGGGTGCATCGGTCCAATTACAATATTTTTACACTGTATTATGGTGCTTTTAATAATATTATAAAAATACTATAATGTAGCATAAAAATATTATATTTTACAAAAAATATTAATTTTACAGTATTTTTAACAACACCAATAAAATACTATAATATATTAATAAAAGTACTATATAAATATTTTTTATACTATGTTACAGTTTTTTCATAGTATTATGAAAAACTATAACTCATTGTAAAAACATTATAGCTAGATTCACCCTATAAACTGGTCCATAGGAAAAAAAAGAAGATGATTAGGGATATTCTAGGTATTAAATAAAAAATACTGTTAAAAAAATTCTAAAAAAGATAATATTTTCCCAAAAAACTAAATAAAAGGTATTTTCCAAAATTCACTCCAAATGACTTTATAGTGACATTGACGGTTGAGCGCACAGGGTCCGCCATGTCCAACAACGAGGGCCTCAAAAGAATATTACCCTTTTTGGTGGAGACAAGCGAGCCACTCCCAGAAGAAGACACGATTGCCACTATTCCCACGTAACCCAAGCGGGGTTGCTCAAGCAATCGAAGCCTTCGGTTGTAGTACCTGACGATAAAGACGCGCTCTAACTCTTAAGATGCATTTGTTTAAACATCATCACATGCTCGCATTAAACCCATGAAAGCAACATCGATGTTTTACAAACTAAAAACATGACATCTTTCTACTCTACGTGGAATGCGGCACATTATGTGATTAACTCAGATGAACCAAAATACGAGTTACTAGCAGCATCATGATGCACATGAGTAACTAACTATGAGGCCATTTATTATATACTACTACTGTATTATATTATATGAGCCGGTGGTATTTACAAAGAGGCCACCCAAGTAAAGAAACCGAATCACGATGCCGGCACGAGTGCGACGAGTCTAGAGGCTGCGGCAGAAGCCGATGCGAGCCCGCCCCAAAGCGTGCGACCCGTCTCCCCGGCGTCTCATCCCCCTCGTCGCCGCCGTCGGCATTGTGATTCGGTCAGCAGTTCCCACAGCACGCGCACGTCCTCGTACTCGCACGTGCTCACTTCCTGCCTCAGCCGCAGCAGCCCTGCGGCAAAACACGGAGGGAAAGAGGAGTCAAGTCTCCGCCACGGTCAGATCGCGGCGTGCTGCGGTTGGGGGTCGGACTCACCGGATTTGCGAATGCCGACGCGGGTGGCGACGCCAGCCCAGACCTTCCTCATCGGTGATGCCACCCGATCCCACCAAGCCATCCCCCGCCGGAGTAGTCGAGAATCACAGAGAGGGAAAGAGAGAGAGAGAGAGAGAGGCTCGAAATCAGTTGATGCTGATGCTATCGAAGTGCCTCCGATTTAAAAGCCCACCCTCTCTGTTCACCGGCTAATTCCATCTTCGACCGGCAGGTGACGGTCAGCATTCACCGTACCTTCGTCAGGAGATATTTTTTCCTCCATCGACGCGTGGGTGGCGATGGTTGAATCGTACGGTGGACGCCAATTCGGACGCGATTAAGGCCGCTGACGCAGAGCATGATCCGCTGCAATACGCTCGAGCTCTCACCCGCAACCAGTACCCGTGAGATCACTGGAGGAGAAACTCGCGCCCCGCAGGCGACACCGACACACGCCCCGGTGGTGGTGGGGGCAGCAACGCGTGCTGGACGTGGCAGCTACGGGGCTAGTTATTTGATCCCGTCCGGGGGACCGCTCCAGGGAACAGCCAGTACAGTGTGGGCCCGCAACATACATATTTACGGTCCGGGACCACCCACCCAAGGGTTACCATATTCTGTAATATCAATCACCACACGAAGTATACGAAATCATTCGCACGATGTAGATACAGATGACATGGCAAATATATTAACATCTAAGCTCCACGAGGCCTAACACGATGGAGCCATCTGATCGATACTGACTCTCATGGCTAGCATCGAAGCTCCACATGATCGATGGTAGAGTCATATGATCAACATATCGATTCTTATTGCAAACACTTAGGTTCCACGCAACTGATATGTTGACTCCCATAGGTAAGGGCCTGGACTCCATGTGGTCGACATGATGGGGTTATTTGGCCCACCCATCAGCGTCACCTCTACGGGAGGAGCCAACTAGTCATATTTGATTGGCACCATGTGTTAAAGAGGCAATGCAATCTCGAACTTAGACATAAGCTAACAATGATTATAGCTAAAATCCAACACTCCCATCGCATGATACATGGGCAGCTCAAAGAGTCTATTATAAAAGGAGGCTCATATGTAGCTATTGTAGAAATTGAATAATATAACAACTTTAACTTGAGATATGCTCAAACAAAGGATCGAGTTAGATCCTACTCAACTTTCATATTGGACAACCAAAGACTAACTTAACACATCTTAAAAAATAATATAAAATTTACTAATGTGTACTCAAGTCTCTAATGTATAAAATTTTTGATAGTTAATTATAAGGTGTTGGCTTCGAGAGTCTTTACTTTTGTGAATTGCCCTTTGTAATTTTTTTCTTTGACAAATTTCCAAATAAGCAAGTGTACTCGTCATCATGCTTCAATTTGAGAGGGGTATTGATGAAGTGATATTTGTGATTTCTAAGTTTGCTCAAGGATACAAAATTTGCTTTCTAATAATATTGTTATTTTCCGACTAATTGGGCATGTAATTTCCAAACATCAAATGCAATCGGCTCGGTGAAATTGATTCTGAATCGTAATGGAATATGCATTGGTAAGCAATCGAATGCGTCGTATCAAATCCTTGGCTAAGTCAAACATATTCAGAAGGTGACTAACATCCGCATCATTTTCCTTCAGATGTTGAGCTATCGCAATCTACATAGTTCACAAGCAATTGACTGGGATGAGTTGCCATGGAAAGGAATTCTACTGCTTACACTGAAAACTTAAAACCACATTCCAAATCGATGAGTATATAATTGCCCTCACCGAACACATTCCAGCAAACTTATGATTTAGAAAACTTACTAATAGAAAAAATGTAATGCAAGAGTTTGACAATGAAATCTTGGTCATGATAATCTTTCGTAGATTGACGATGTTCTATAATGCTTGATACTAGCCAAGACTTAGGTTCTTTAATTCTATGACTTGCACTCATTTTTCAGAATGCATCGAGTATCTTCATGCCATACAAAATTTGGAAGGATCCGAATGATAAGGCTGAGATATGAAGACAATCTAGTCAGTCGATATCTTTTCCACGTCTGCCTTCTCCAAGCTTGCCATGTATGTGATATAGATGGTCCAAAGAAATGAGAATGAATTGCTCACCAAGGGCTGAAAAGAAAACAAGAGAAATGCTTAAAGATGAGCTAAGAGATTCAGAAACTAATGACGATATAGGATTTTGTGTTACCTGCAGACGAACAGGGATGAATTTAAAGGTAATGAAGTCACATATAGGCCAGTACACAACCCCACTCTTAAGAGTAGGAATCAAATCTCTTTTTAGCCTGGCAAAGATTTCAGCACCAGTTTCACCTATTGTTAACAAAAACAGTAAACATTATCAAGCAAAAAAAAAAACATTGTATATAACCAATCAAAACAGATGATGAGTAGTACATGTCTACTATCATTAATGTTATAATAAAGGACAGGCACACAGAACAGAAACCAATGAACAAGACAGAGAAAAGCCAAAGAAAGACAATTACACACAGCAAAACATGAAGTTACATCTATGGGTGAAGACGACAACAAACTCTGTTATGGCATAGCGTGGAACACCTTTCGTCTCTCCAAAAAAACCTCAAATACATGATGGCACATGCATCCCTATGATACCCAGCCCTACAAGCTGACAAGGAAATGCCAGCAGTACATGGGGGTGAGTGAATATAAGTCACATTCATAGTTGATTCCATCCAAATGTTTTAAGTATCCCCCACATAGACCAAATGAATTAACAGAGAAGATAGAGGCCTATTAACTTCCACAGTTAACAGAAGCACAAATAATTTGATGTAACCAAGTTTGTCACTCATCCTACATGGTCCTAGGAAATCACCTTAGAAGCCTAGGCAAAATGCCTTAGAAGCTAGGTGGGTGACTAGAATCGAACTTTACCTCTTTCTATAAGATGATCACCATAAACCTTTTGCATCAATTCGTATAAGTTTGTAAAAAAAAAAGTTAAACAACATTGATGACAAAATGTTAAAGACACGCCATCATCATACATTTTAAATAACATTTACATTCACAACAATGTTGATTTTGCACAAATAATCTGATATCTCCAAACAACATAAGGCTATAAATTGTTACATAATAAAGACCACAAACAATGCCATCAGAAAAATATAGCATAACAAAACAATGTTCACTGATACAAGATGACTATATATTATAGAATCTGCATAAAAGATTAATTATTCTCCTTTTAAATATCTGTAGCTGATTAATGATAGTTTAAAAACATGCTAGAATATAAATATTATGTTACTAAAATAAGTTACCTTCATCTCTTTTTCCTATAGTAGTTATCCATAGTAGATAAATGGTCATGTTGAAAGAATGAGGTACTTGGTTACTGGTTACTAGGCCCCAGGTGCTCAAGTAGTTCACCTAGCATAAGGCCCTCTAGATAGTTAGGTCCTTGAAACATGGATGATGCCTTGTACCTGACTATGAATGCTTAGCGGCCACCTAGCAATGTCTACTTGCTTGAATCTTGCCTAGTTAGAGACTTTCAGTAGAATCAAGCACCGGGGTAGGGTTGTAGATGGATCAGATTGGGGCAGCCAATCCTTATCACAATTGATTCTTGGTTGATCCAATCTGAACAAAGAATCAGATCTAAGCAGAACAATATCTTGATCACAGTTCTAAATCCAACTATCCTATCCCATCCAATTGCTAGTGTCTGAAAATAGAGTGAAAGGAGAGGGAAGGGAGAGATAAGTGAAAGAGGCATCCCGTGGTGAATGAGAAGTGGAAGTAGTCGAGTTGTCCTAGAAAACACTATGTTCCATCAAGTCCTGTCATCTTTGTGAGATTGCACCCCTTGAGGATCTCCATATTTCTTCTTAAGCCGCTTGATCACTGCTCAGTTCAGTGGTGACCTGAACACACCAAAAACCCCCACCCTACCCGTGGGCATCAAACGGCCTTGCCAGCGGGATTGGTGGCATGTTAGTAACCTTTCACTTGAAGCAGTTTTTTGGCAAGGGTGATGAGGCAGCAAAGAGGATGATGCCCTCATTAGTGCCACAGTGGAGTTTGGTGCCAGAGGTAGATAGAGAAAGGAGGGAGGGAAGGGGAGAAGGAAAGAAGTTAAGGTCATTTCCTCTTCCACATCTGATGTTATCCATAGAAGTTATATATAATAATAATCTGGGCACCCAATCAACAACAACAATGAATAAAACAAGAGAAATTTGTCTGAGGTCTGAAGATGTTCAAGGGATAACAGACATTAAAAAAAAATTCCACCCTCAGAAAAAAAGAAAAAAAGAAACAGGACCCAGCAGAAACTTGGGTTGAAGATTAAAATATAAGCGACCCATAAACAACAGAATAAATATTATGTAAAGTCACAAAAAAAGATTTTTGAACTTTGAACTTAATAGATTCTCAACTTATATTGCAATAAAATGGGAGAAAAAGTAGAAGAAGTGCACTGCTCTGGTAAACAAACTAAATTGACTGTTAAATGGGCCAACTCAGTAGTAATAATCATAGAGCTGCTCTGCACCATATAATCATAGAAGCAAATTCAATTCAATATTGAACTGACACATCATTGTTGAGTAGGTTCAATGAGTCTCGTAAACACCATCTCAGGCATCTCTAGAAACCAAAGCTGGACCTACTTCACAGTATGCGGTAGGGTTCCAGGAATGAGACAAAGCATATTGCCCATCCCTGTTGAGTCTTTTCTTATTTTTCTGGGATTTCTCTGATCAGCTGGACTGCTCTAGTTAATATTCTGTTGTAGACATTGCACCAAGCAATACATCATTTTTTTTAATCAAGTAATACACCTTTTCCATACAGGCCACAGAACTACAGCAAGGTTTCTCACTTGGAAAATAAGAGTGACCCAAGAGGCCTTGAGATAAATTAAGACATTTGAATAGGAGATTCTCAGGATTAGTAACTTATTATTAATTAGATATGGAGATGCTGTTAACTCACTCTGCTTTCTGAATCCAAGAGGAACAGTATTGCACCTAAGTGAAAATTACAGATTTTGGAAAGAAAAATATTTCTTTCTTCAAGGACAATGCACAACCAAAGGTAGATATCCACACTGCCATGCAACTTAATATTAACACATAACTGCAACTACAGCAACTTACATCAAGTTATCTTAAACTACTAAAAATGAAGGAAAACTACAGGCATACCAAACAATTACCACAATAAACTTTGATTATAACTACAATTACAAAGACACTCAACCATGTATGCCACAACACATTATATTAAATATTGAGCTACAAATATAAATGAACTAATAACAATAGAAGTGTCTCCGTTGAGACACCCGATTGGTTAGTGTATTATGGCACAAGTGATAGGCCTTAAGTTCGAACTCACGTGTGAGCATCTTATACGTCATTTAATGTAATGATTTTTTTAAAATAACAAAACTAGTTATATGGTTAAGTAAAATAGAAGTGCTCACATGATCTGCTGAAAATAATTCATTTTCAACACATGATATGTAACTCTCCATTTCATAACTCCATCACAGAACTTAAACCATCTAAACAGTAATCGTTTCCAAGTTACATTATCTACTAATGATCAACTAAAGAACATGATAATCAGTCATGAGAAAGTATCGTACATCATGTACAACACAAATGCAGTTACCCAAGCAAATTATAAAACAAAAGAACATGTTACTATATGACCTTGTAATCCTGCATTTAGCGAGAAAAAAACTCCAGTCATTATAGGCCCATAGATTGCTTGTCCAAGAGCCATCTTCTTGAAAGTAGTAAGAACATCTCGTTTTGGTAGAACTCTGGAAACAAAATTGAACCAGAAATGCAAAGATGGTCCTGAAATGAACATCCCATAACCAGCCATTCGCAGTGTTCTTATGAGATCTAGACTGTCAGAGGACGAGAGTGTGATTATCTGCTAAAAATGCACAAAAATTAGTGATCAGTGTTTTATCAAGAAGTATGAAGTACTTTAAAGTAGTGGAGCTTAAAGTTCTTAAGGAGATGCTGTATAAGGGAATTTGAAACTGTACAAAAGTTTGTTGAATTTTATTTATAGATATTAATTAAAAGGAACTGATATTCTAATGATGGACAGAACATAAATGTTTGTTCTTAAAATGACACTAGTAAGGGCATATTGATAATCATTTTGCTCAATCATTCAAAGCTTCAGATCAAGTGCATGGCCTTGTCTGGAGCCAACTGCATGATACTCGAGATTCTGACTCATCTAAGATATGTGTATAGCTGATTCTTCTGATTGTGAAAAGGGGTGCAACAATTTGTCTTCAAAGGGCTTCTAATCATGCTAAAAGTGGGTCTGAACTCCATGCTCATCAGTTTACATTACTAATTGATATGCCAAATTACTATAAAGAAATGGCATGTCAAGTTACTACCAAATCCCTAGATTCAATAACAAAGTCACCTTACCAAAGCCACCACCCTCCCAAAGCCAAAATCATCATCAAACAAAGTTAAATTTACTGACCCCTTTAACCAAAAAACCACAATTCAGCCAAATGAACCAAAAATCCTGATTCTTGACGGCCCGCACTAGTTCGATAGACAACCAAACTTTCCAAGTTACGCAAACGCATGCAGCAAGAAAGGGTTTTCAATCAAGAAAGAGCAATAACGAGACACAAGGTCAGAACAAACAGACCTGAGAAGAGATATCCGCGGCGGTGAAGATAGCCCCCGCGGTGAGGCTTTTAGTTAGGATAGGGCGGGCTTCGATCATGCCGAGGTACCAACTCACGAACCCATTCCGGATCGAAGAAGAAGAAGATACGGCGGCGGTTGCGGGGGACAAGGAAGGGGAGTACAGGGAAGGCGAGGCGGGGGAGTGCCCCGTCGAGGTCTGCTTGAACTTGGAGGAGAGGAGGTGGGAGCGGTTGTAGGCTCTGACAGGCGCCGACGAGGACTTGGAGAGCTCACCGCACAACGGGGAAGGTCGAAGCTGGCGGAGGAGGAGGCCGTGTGCTCTCCGGCCACCACTTCTCAGGAAGCCTCCGCTCATTTCTGCGATTCGAGTGCGGCCGCGGCGGTAGCCGATCGTCGGGACTTCCGGCTTTCGTTGTCGTTCTTGAGTGCGGCCGCGGCGGTCAGTCGGTACCGAACGGAGGGTAAGGGCAAGCGAGCGATTGATAAGTACACGCCCTAGTAGGGCGGCTGACGCGCCCCTTAAGTCCCCGTGACAACACGAGACGATGGCTGTCGATTGCGTGGAAAAGAGAAAGGTCTGAGTTTACATATCGCGAGAACTTTTTGCCAGATTTCGGGGATGTGGGTTCCCGTGAAACAGCGGACGGCTACTTTATGTCGCGACTTAACGGGCGATCCAGCATCTCATGCGACGCTGACGTGCCGAACGTTGAGGAGACATGGGTCACGTGAGTCGTAACGTGTACCTTCTTTGTTTCCAAAAACAAAAACACTTCGCCTACGACCGGAGGGGAGGAGGCCTGTTCTTGAGTCCATCGGTTTCATATGAACGCTAATGGAAGCCAATGAATAATGGGGGCAGTTAATGTAAAGAACGAGATTTTTAATATTTTCAAACAATCTAAAGTTGTTCATTTATTATTTTTATATTTTTTTTTATCTCATAGTATTAGTTAACTAATTTTTAAGATCCAAAATTAGTATAAATACAAATTCTTTCTAGGCTTATGAGATCATTGAGCATCATTATCTTCAAGTTTTCATTGTAAGGAGTTGATTTTTTTTGTTTTCTATAATCCTTTTGGTTAGAATATTTTTAATTTTGTTTCTATTTTTTATTTTAAAATTAATTTTAGGATTTCTATCCTAAAAATATATAAAAATATATATATGAACCAGATATAAGGTCTCAAATATATGAAAGAAATTTGTGTTAATCATTTAGTAATTTGAGGCTAATTTCTATCCTCTCTCTCTCTCTCTCTAATTTTCCAATTATATACATTGTTATTGTATATTTCTTTCATGTCAGCAACCTTCTTTTCTTCATTGGTTTGAGGCAAAAATAAACAAAAGCTACAACAGCCTCATGGTATTATTATTTTTCCCCTCTCCACATCATGCATCAGAAGTCCAAAATGAGCACTACAAGCATGATATAAAAATAATGCAAGGGGACCCAACTGAGAGTAATTTTAATGCGTACCTAATCAACAAAGAACAAGTGGCTAACCATTTCTTAATCCAAAATCAAAATGGCTTAGGAAGGCAATTGCACCTTTACATATATTAATGCTATCAAAGTAGACAGATTCCATGGATGCCTTAAGTGGCATTAATATGACAATTTATTAGGGTCTCAACATGGGCGCATGAAGCCATTTCAGGTGGTCGCTGTCCTAAAATAGCATTGATTAAGTCACAAGCAACATAGAGTTAGAAAAGGTTCCAACAAAGTGCTTCTTTATCATGTCATCATTCTTGGTTTTGATCAATTGGAGTTAGGCAGACATATGATTGTTCCATCTCTATCTAATTATAAAAGAAAGTTAATTTAGCCTAATTTACATGAAGTAAAATAAGAGAATCCAAAAAAATGCTAGCATAGACAACCGAAATCAACCAAGGCATCATTTGTTTGTAGAGGAATTTGTGTGTGGAAATGGCCAATGCATTCATGATTGCATTATATACTTTATTTGAGGACCAATTAGCTAGGTAAATTTGTTATCACAAACAATATTTGTAGTATTTAGGCCCTTCATTAGCTCTTGTGGTGGAGGATGCTGACCAAGTTGATGGGAAAAGTTTCTCCACGCTAATCAATTGCTTAAACTTTCATCTTTCATATGATTGCACTTTCTTAGAGCCTAATTGAAGATGAATGATGAGGTCAACAACTACTCTTTAGGGTTATTTAGTGATAGTACCAATTCATGAGAGAAAACCAATAAAGGATGGGGGAAAAAACCTCGACAATTTCAATGTATTGAGCATGAGAAATAATCTGTTCATTTCAAGGAACTTTGGGACTTGATTTATGATTCATCTATATCGTGATCTTTTCGTGATGTAGATGATGTATGATGATGAAGACAGAAACCCTAGCTTGTTTCATAATAATTGGATGCACATGATATGCTTCCATTATCGTAATAATGGTTACTATCACTAGCATTTTGTTTATATATATATGTGTGTGTGTGTGTATGTGTGCTTCTTCAATTTCAATAATTTCAACGTTAATCTATCATGATATGTGGAATTATTTCTAGATAATGAATCTCTAACATGTCCAGCAGGCAATTACATGAGAGGGAAGCATCATTTGCTTCTGAGGAAATTAGTTGAGCTATGTCTAATTGTCTGAGATAGCTTCTCACGTTGCATGCAACTTTTGCTACGTTAATGGTAGCGTTTTCGTCTGTGTATGAACAGATATAAGCCGCAAAAGCTCACATTATCTCCTCTCACTCCACTCTCCTTTTCCTTTGCATTCTCTCCTACAAAACCATGGTTCTTCTTCAATGGTCGGCAGACTACAACCTACAACGTGAAAGCCAAATCCATTTAGCCAGGTAATCTGGGAAACAAACATGATAAGCTCAAGGAATCATGGTAGAGAGATTACCGGAAGGAGACGATGCTACTGCGTTCTTCTTCCTGTCATGATCCTCCTTTCTTCTCTTGTCCCATGAAGCCAATCCAGCGAAGAGACCGGTAGCTGTCATCTGCTTGTTGATCATACGTGCTGCATAGTAAGGAAGCTTTGTGTGTTTCCTTTCTTTCCCCTTCTCGCTGTCCATCAGCACATTAACGAACATGATGCTGTCCATCAGGCTTTCCTTGGCCATGCCCTTCATGTCGTATGCCTGCGACCTCCGCCAAAGGCTTTTGGCGTGCCCGTTCGCCGGCCGAGCCAACGCCAGCGCCCGTGTCGCATCGCTAATGGCCGCATCGGGATCTTGCATCAGCAGGTGGCACTGCGCTCTGTTGCTGTAAAGAACCAGCCTCTCCTTCCTCATCTTCACGGGGCAGAGCTCCAGTGCATCGGTGTATCGAATTGTGGCCTCCTCCACGTTTCCCGACCAGAATTTCTCGTTGCCATGCCTCTTCTTCAACGCAGCTAACGCTGTTCTTTCCGTGGCCTCCTTGTTTGACATCCGGTGTTCTCTGCGCTTCCTCTCGACCTTTAGTTCCCATAGGAATTTGACAGCTGTTCCAGCTTCTCCACCCAAAGCACGAGCTCCATGGTCGAAATCTAGCAGTAGGGCCTTCGTTATTGTTTCTCCGATCCTTTCCCTTGCGCTCAGGCTCTGCAGCTCCGCCAAGTCCACGAGGCAAGGTGCGGCGATCTCCATCACCATCTGCCGAGTCTTGTGGTCGTCGACGAGCAACAGGAGGCAGTCGACGCCCATGTACTGCCAATCGTCGGAGGATCTCGAGAGGTTGCAGAGGCTCTCGACCACTTCTCGACACCCCGCCATGGCCTCTCGCCCGGCCTCGCTTCGACAAAGTATCCTCACCAGTCCGACCCCGGCAGGGGAGTCGCTGTTCACCAACCCTCCCCACATCCGGCACAGATCCTTCAAGAACCCGACGTCACGGCAAAGCAGATGATGAATGGATTGGTCCCTGTACGCGAAGCAGCATAACAGGTAGAGGGACCAACACTGGAGCTGGCTCGCCCACTCCTCCGCTCTCCGGTCCTCCATGTCGGCCCCGCCGAGCCCCCTCGTCAAGAGGTCGCGATGGTACTGCTCCCGCTCCGAAGGCGTTACCGCCACGAACTCAGTGTAAACGGTGTCGAGGCAGGTGGACGCGACGCGCATGGCCAGCGCCACCACCTCTTCCGCGTGCTGCGCGACGGCGGGAAACGTGCTGTCGTAGCTAGCCAGGTGGCCGAGAGCACGGACGGCCACCCGCTGCTCGACCCAGGTCAGGCTCCCGCGAAGGAGGTCGAGGAGCGGGGGCACAGCGCCGGCATCGATGGCGAGCTCCGCGAGCTCGGGGAGGTGGATGGTGTACGACCCGAGGACGTGCGCTGCATAGTAAGGTACGTAGATATTCTGGTGACGGAGGAGCCAGGCGGGCTCGGCGATGGCCCTGGCGATGAGGAGGGACATGCAGCGGAGCGCACCGAGGGAGGGAAGCTCGGGGTCATCGGAGCGGGTCATGGCGATGTTCCAGAGCGCGCTCAGGACCAGGACGCCGGATTCGTCGGCGCGGTACGGCATCTCATCGAAGACGCTCGCGACAGCCGGCTGCCGAAGCCTGGGGTCGGGCTCCTTTATGGCGCAGAAGAAGCAACAGCCAGATTCCTCCTGCTGCTCATCCATCCTCACGGTCTTGCTCTTGTGCTTATTGAGCTTCTTGTTCCAAGTGGTGTTCTCCATACTTGAAGCGGTAGAGAGAGGAGATCACAGGAGAGGAGGAGATATAGAAGAGCGAGGCGAAGCGGCGCATGACAAGGGAGCCATGATTGTAACTACGGGATCGGGTTGCTGCTTTTGATGAGGGCTAAGGTTTGGGCACACAGTTAATTGGCCGATTTGTGGGATTCTTTGGGTTACTATTTGCACATCTAGTTGTACTTACCGATCGGGAGCAGTGCAATTAATTACGGCTAAGCCACGCCACGCCACGGTGAAGATTGTGGCACATTGCTCCGAACTCACGGATCCCGTCCAACGGCACTTCTAAATACAACCTTCGAATCCGGTGTCACGGTGAAGATCTGGCACGTGTGCTTATGCATGTGCATACGTATATACATGTGCACGTAGCCAGCCACACATGCACGAAGGGAATGCTTTCTTCTACTTCATGCACTCCATATCCTGCGATGAAGAAGTTAAATTAACTGTGCCTTAAATGATCCAAGTAATAATAAAATCTTGTTCGAGTTTGGTCTAATGTGACTTCAAACGAACCAAGCACGAGCTAATTATAATTATAATTGTAATTGTGATTACAACAACACGACTGACTCTATCTCTCCCTCGGTACTTGAGGAGATACTCGACCAAAGAACAAGTGTAATCTCCTTAATCCTCACCCAAACATATCTTTTACTCCATTGACGGATCTAAACCACATGACGTTAGTCTAAAGTTGCGGCGGGTAATCATCGAAGGGAAACTCCCTCCGATTAACTTAATCCCCGCATCCAATCGCAAGATCGAGCATGTAAGTATCTTTCACTTGGAACCTTGAAAGGTAGCCAAGGAGGTGTTTCATGGAGACTTTGGCTGCTCTTCTTCCCCGAGTTTAATACTAGTCTAATAAAAGGACACACACACTCCCATCACGGCACTAAAGCTAAGCTTTTCTCCTCCTTGTGTTTGTTTATGCCACCAAAAGTGCTTCCCACCTCAGAAAGGCACGACTGCTGGCAAAAAGATGTGGTCCTCCAAGATTGGATTAAGAACACTACTACTTTGCTTTCCTGTGTGTGTAAGATTTGGTCGGCGATGAGTGGAGCTGAAGTAAAAAAGGTTTGCTATTTTTTAACGTATAAAAATGTGTAATAATGTAATAATTCTATGTAATATCATTAACATATACAATACCTTAAGCGACGGTCTATCTGAAAAAGGCACGTTGGGTTGTCGATCAACATAGCCAAATTGGATTATCAATGAACATAGCCAAACTAACTACAAGATGGTTTGACTTGATCGAGCTATTTGGTCGAATAAAACTAATGCCAAGAAAAATAAATGACTCCTTGTTATAATAATTGGGTGACAAAAAAAATATTTTTATATCAGATTTTTATTTCTGTGAAGATGTCAATCGGGTTAGGCTGATAAAAAATATTTAATTTTATTTAAATATTCATAGATTAAATTTTAATGATATCAAAATATCTGAATGCCAAACCATATAGTTTGGTACTCATATATATTTTTTGTTATTTTTGAAACATCAATCGGATCAATGCCGCGGTCTGCATCGATTCAACAAAAGTATCGAAATTGAAATTAAATTGGGATTTTTTAATCCTTGAGTGGGATGTGGATGACAATGGGTTATGATTGAGCACTAGCTGCCATGTTAGTAGCATATATGTTTACTTACATGTATGGGCTCTGGGCTTGAGTTGTTTAGATTCTTAAGTGCGGCTTAAAAGTATATTAGATTCCATTACAAACCCATAAGTCGAACATAATAACGATTTTATAGTCTAACACTATCAGAAATTGATGAGTGATATGGGGAATATTGATTGCCACTTTCCTACTTGAGACATGAAAGTTATGTAACTCACCCAACATCATCGAAACTATATCTCTCAATCAATTGATAAAATATTCTTCATATATTTTTTTTTCTGTTCAAAATTGTATCTCTCAAATCACTCGCGATTAGAGGGACACTAAGTATAAAAAATGTTTGCATGTATGATCCTCGAGGTTGGACTCATTCTCCCTTCAATCCTTTATTATCCATCTCGATGTTACTAACTTGGATGATGATATTGATTCTCCTATTAACTTCGGGGGATCACGATGAGTTAGGAGTCAAATTGGTGATGGTTATTTGATAATAATTAAATCCAAAAACTTAAAAATATATGTGATATATCTCTTTATGTTATTATCAATGTAGAATTAATCTTAATTATTTTATCTTCATTTCACACGTCAATATTCTTCCAACACATACGACATATCACATATGTGACCTTTCAAAGCATGTAGAGATGATCTAATTAACGTGCCAACACAAAAGACAACCTCGGATCAGGTCCTCAGAATTTGGACCAACCAAACCAGTAAGCAAATAGGTAGATGGACGAGACTGTGTGTGCACTTCCACTGAGATCGTCACCTGAAACAAATGTCAAAGACATGATGTCCCAAACAAAAGGACAAGCTCAGCTACGAGCTTATATGTACATGTAGAGAGGACAAAAGAAAAGCTGTTTGCAGGCTCAGCTTGGTTGACTAAAGAGCGTTAATGACATGAGTTTGATGCTTGGACGTATCTCCACAAGCATCCATGCAAACTTCTCTCGCGTTGACTGGAGACGCCCTCATCCTCCCTCATAAAAGATCAAAGAGGAAGACGCGAGAGTTGACTCACTTCACCCCTACTCTTCCAATGTAGATAGAGACGCCTCTCCTAGTTTCTACCAGGAGCCCTTAAAACCCGGAACACCTTTTGATCGCTTGTATTGATTTCTTTAGTCATCTGGGTCTTCGGTTGCAAATTCCTATTGGACTACTAAGATATTGTCATGATTTAAGGATTATCTTGACGTCGTATTAAAATATATACTTCCACAATAACATTTTGCTACTTGTCGTATTAAATTATAAGGCTATACCACACTTTTTGAAAATGATTTTGATCATTAATTTGACGTAACAAAATTGATCGAATATAATATATATTTCGAGTTATAGAGTCCGGAAGAAATAAAGAATTTTTTTCTAAGAGAATGTGACATGGCAATCATAACTTGCGGGCTAAAAATATATATTTCTTTTTTTTTTTGTCTTGTTTTAATTCGTTGGATTATATCAAAGGTGTGTTTAGCAAAACCTCTTCCTCAAGTTAGCTTTTGTTGGACGAAAAATGTTCATAAGAGAGTAAGTTCAGTTAAGTTCATAGTGAGGAGATAACTGTTGGTTTGCATAGTGCAAGATTTCCTGTAAAATGAGATAATATTCTCTTTAGATATCATGTTGGCATAGCATATTTAATTGTTGCTTCATCATCTTCGGACTAAGTGGACTCCATGTATAAAATCTCGATTGCCAAAAATAATAACTAAAGTAATAACATAAATTATTACTCATAATCAAGAAATTAGTTCTTTAAAAGTATATATTTTTTTTTCTAATTATACTTCAATTAATTGGTCTCATATCATATGATACATTGAGAATCAATAGAGACCTGTGATAGCTGTGCACTTCGTTGTCTCCATGTAAATTTGCTTGTCACTCATTTATTCTTTACAGAAAGCACATCTCAACACAAACTTGTTTCTTGTGGTTCACAAAATATATATGTTAAAAAATTAGCCTTGTGGTAACGTGTTCTTCCTATTGCTCAGGTAGGATTGTGTTTCATTTGTATAAGCTGTCTTGAGATGTTGAGGCTACGATAGAGGAGGTTGTCACTTTAGGTTTCCACAAGGCTGATCTTAATGGACCACCATTATACAGTGGCAAGCCATCACAGGTAGCCATCAATCTTTAGTTGAGAATCTAAGGTGCTTTCTCTCATTGAACGAAGATCGATCAATGATATGCATCATCAAATTAACAATTAACTACAAAATTAAATTTTCAGACATTGAGCGTTCTCGATCCTATGTAAAGTTCTTTCTTTTTTTTTGTTCTAATACTTGAAATATCATAACTAACCATTTATTCATTTTCTTTTCTTTTTCGTATGGATCGAGTTATAGTATTTTTATACGATGTTATAGTGTCTTCAATAATATAAAAAAAATACTATAAAAACACTATGTTTTACATCATGTTATAATATTTTTAATAATATCATAAAACACTATAAAATACTATAAAAACACTATGTTTTACATTATATTATTTTTCTTGTATTATTAAAAACACTATAACACAATATAAAAACACCGGTTTACGCTATGGACCAATATATAGGAAAAGTGATGAAAAAAAATAGATGACTGGGATTATTCCATGTATTAAGCAAAAATCGAGTTCTCTTAAGAAATTTTGAACATGGATTATACTTAATGAGAAAAGTTTAAACAAAAAAGATTTTTTTTTTAAATTCACTCTAAAAGCTTTGAGTTTAATCTTTCTCTCTCATCTCTTTATTATATTTCTCTATGAATTATTTCCAACTACCACCTTTCGAGTTACTTTCTAAATAGTGTTTTAGGGATCATACATAATATTCTTAACTTTTTCTCAAAACAATTGAATATATTATAGTAAGTTTTATAGGGATATGTATGAAATATTCTCATCAAAATAGATATCTTAATCTTCCACAAATTTCTGTTCATCTGTGCACATAAAGTGAAGTATTATTATACATCTCTCGACAAGAGACACGTCAAAGAACGACTCTACAAGCATTCCAACCACGAACCACTAAACAAGTCCATTACTTACGAAGATGAGAAGGACCACCTAATACTTGTCCGCCCCATCCACACACTCACATCACACCTCAATAATACAGCCAAAGGCTCGAGTGAAAGAGAAATTTTCCGTGCGTGTCCCATTCATGAAGAGGAGGGAGAGAAAGAGAGAGAGAGAGAGAGAGAAGCCAGTAGAGCTATGAACACTAGAATAAGAATACAACAGTTGAACAGTACTTTGTCTCGGTATGTCCTCGTGAACACACATTATACTGTCACACGCTACGTTCTAAAGAATAGACCACAGCAACATCTGTGTCTTGTGAGTCGAGCCCCATAACCTAAATGATTTGACCATCGCTTCCTCGGTGACCCTTATCCGGAGATCAAGTATACAGATGTAGAATCGAGGAGGCAGGTTATTAGGGTTTCAAAGAGAGAAGCGGTGGAAAAAGACTGTACCATACGTGCAAACATTGATGGTAGAGACATCATCCACCACTACACACATGTAGTTCTTCAAACACGGAATCTGGGGCCTTTAAAGTAATGCATTTTGTTCATCAAGGTGGTGATGTGATTCCAGTTCCTTCCGCCTATTTAATCCCCTTAAGCGCAAGCCTCTCTGCTCACCAAGACCAGCTCGGTCCCTCCCTCTCTCTTCCACATCTTGTAACCTTCACTTCATCCACAGTAATGGGTGATCAGAAACCAGAAGCGAACATCATGGAGGCGGTTGCACCAGCGAAGAGCAGGAACAAGATGTTCGCCTTCGCCTGCGCCGTTCTCGCTTCCATGGCGTCCATCCTCTTGGGCTATGGTAATTAGCTCGTGTCTTCTGCTTCTTTCTTCTTTAAAGATGGAAGAGTTTGGTTTCTGGTCTCCATCATCGAAATTTCAAGATCGTAATTTTGATAGGAATTAGAGAAGATTATATTACTATATCTTCGGATAATATTACGTGATGACATGCACAATTCGAGAAGATGGATGATAACATAGAAAGTAATATGGAAAAATCGTGACGTGGTTTCTTCTTTTGCTATGCAGATATTGGAGTGATGAGCGGAGCGGCAATCTTTATAAAGGACGACCTCAAGATCAGTGACGTGCAGGTAGAGATCCTCCTCGGGATCCTCAACCTCTACTCCCTCGTCGGCTCCTACGCCGCTGGCTTCACCTCCGACTGGATCGGCCGCCGCTACACCATCGTCTTCGCGGCAGGCATATTCTTCGTCGGCGCCATCCTCATGGGCTTTGCCACCAACTACGCCTTCCTCATGGCCGGCCGATTCGTCGCCGGCATCGGCGTTGGGTACGCGCTCATGATCGCCCCGGTGTACACTGCGGAGATCGCCCCGGCCTCCTCCCGCGGCTTCCTCACGTCTTTCCCGGAGGTCTTCATCAACTCGGGCATCCTCCTCGGCTACGTTTCCAACTATGGTTTCGCCCACCTCCGTCAGTCCCTCGGCTGGCGCTTCATGCTCGGCGTCGGAGCCATCCCCTCTGTTTTCCTCGCCGTTGGCGTCCTCGCCATGCCGGAATCCCCGCGGTGGCTCGTCATGCAAGGGCGCCTCGGCGAGGCCAAGCGGGTTCTTGACAAGACCTCCGACACGCCCGAGGAGGCGCAGCTCCGCCTCGCAGATATCAAGGCCGCTGCTGGCATCCCTGAGGGCTGCAACGACGACGTCGTGCCTGCGCCGAAGAAGAGCCACGGGGAGGGCGTGTGGAAGGAGCTGCTGATCAGGCCGACGCCGGGAGTCCGGCGAGTGCTGCTCACCGCCATCGGGATCAACTTCTTCCAGCAGGCCTCCGGCATCGACTCGGTGGTGCTCTACAGCCCCCGGGTGTTCGAGAAAGCCGGCATTCACGACAAAAACAAGCTGCTAGCCACGACGGTGGCCGTCGGGTTCACGAAGACTCTCTTCATCCTTGTAGCCACCTTCTTAGTCGACCGCATCGGACGTCGACCGCTGCTGCTGAGCAGCACCGGCGGGATGATCCTGTCGTTGGCCGCCCTCGGCCTGGGGCTCACGCAGATCGACCACCACCCGGACGGGCAGCTCCGGTGGGCGATCGGGCTGTGCATCGTGTCCATCCTGGCCTACGTCGCCTTCTTCTCCATCGGCCTGGGCCCCGTCACGTGGGTCTACTGCTCGGAGATCCTCCCGCTGAGGCTGCGGGCGCAGGGCGCCAGCATCGGGGTGGCAGTGAACCGGGTGACGAGCGGCGTGATCACCATGACCTTCATATCGCTCTACAAGGCCATCACGATCGGCGGGAGCTTCTTCTTGTACGGCGGGATCGCGTTGGCGGCCTGGGTGTTCTTCTTCACGTACTTGCCGGAGACGAGGGGGAGGACGCTGGAGGACATGGAAGAGTTGTTTGGGACCAAAAAGGACGCGGAGGAAGCACCAAATGGAGTTCAGATGGTGAATGCAAGCGAGGGCAATGAGAAAATATGAGTTCTGTGTGAACGTCGTAGTAAGTAACAAATGTTAGAGGGCCAAACCCTACCAGAAGACCCAAGTAGAGAAGAAGAATGAACCTACCGGACATAAATGAGAAGATTCTGTCTTCGACAGTATCAGTACTTTCTGGGTTTTGATGTGGACGGGAAAAGGCAGGAAGAAGAAAAGTCCTCATTAGCAATATTAGATAGAAACTATGGCATGATTAGTGTGATGAAGTCAATGAGGTGGGGCAGTGATTCGTGTGAAATATTCCGACTTGTGAGTCCAAATAAAAGCATAGGACAAAGAGTAGCTATGTGGAATGATATGGGTGTTGGTGAGCAAGTCTTCCTATCTCTGTAGAGTTACCCCATTCCCTTGACTTGGGAAGTAATATTATATTTGTATCCCAACTCTTTCTTTCTGCACCACATTTCTTGCTTTACCTCTTTTGAGATAATATCATTAATATTATCATCTTTGCATCCTTATCTATGTTTTGAGTAAACTCTCTGCCTTCAGTACATTTCAAATGGATATCACATAAAAGCTGAAACCAGTAATGCCTGTATACATCCATATTAGCTTTATTTGGAGAACAGATGACTAAGAATATATGCCATTACAAATGTAACATTGTATGATCGATTGGGCATATCTTCTTATTGCAACTAACATAAAACAGTCACTGAAATTAGCAATTAATGACATATTCTGTACCAATCTCATGTTTATTTCTACTTTCTGATGATTTCTGTCCAATCATCTATGATATGTTAGTCGTCATATCTTGTAAGACCGCTGAAATCTCGCTTCGGTATCTACAATGAGAAGCTTACTGCTTCATTATATGTGTGGCTGTATCTTCCTAGGCTTCCCACAGCAACAAAGGAGAAGCATTTATCTTTCTGTTTTCGGGTATAGAGATCAACTGCCATTGATGCATAGGAGTCGAAAAGCTTTGGAGGAACGAGAAGCTCCCATTCTTCTCTTCGAGTATTTATATGACTGCAGAGATGCTGCTTCCTACTGAAGCAGATGCAAAAGGGCTCTCTGGGAGTTCGAGGTGGTTGCTGCATTGCATACACCATTGAAAAGTCATATTAGAAGAATTATTTCTGACAGGTATGTCAACCATAAGTGCATTTGTCTGAATGCATAAATAACAATGCAGAAATGTAATGACTGATTGCATAGTTACTTTCTGATATAATGGGGGTATAAAGCTCACTTGTTGGTTAAATGGTGAAGGATGCCGTCAAATTGCAGAGTTTCTACTGAGTACAAAATTCAGAATTCACACATTTCTTTCTTCAGATTTGAAATTGAACATATGACGAGCAGGAAACTCGTAGAGCAGTCAGAAGTTGGAATTGCATTCTAGAGGGATAAGGCATGATGATAAGAATTAATCGGTCATTATCTGCCAGAAGAACACCACTACTCCTTATTATATCATTTTTTCAGTTACTGATTATTGTAAAAACTGCATGTGCAAGATATATATAAATAATTGCAATACATACAATGATGATTATATAATTAATCAAAATTGCAAGTATCTTCAAGAAAAGGTCTCACTGTGATTACCTTTCCTGGTCACTGAATGAGTTGCCTATTTGCCTAGCTTTATTGTCACTCGCACAGCCATTGTTCAGAGTATCAAGTGCATAACTGAAATGATTTAATAATAAGTTACTGGGACCTGAACAAGAATTGACAAGTAAAAAACTAGATGTTAGCTAATTGATCAAAACAGCAGGAAAAATTTTCAATCCAAATTGGGATACTGTCTGTATGTACCTTCTAGAATTGTCAAGTCTTCCATGCCCTGGGTCAGACAATGTTGATGGGTTAATGTCTTAGGTGCTAAGTTCAATTTAGAACGATGCCCTCTCTCAAGCTCCATCATCTCCTTATCTTCAATCAGCTGGTATCTAAGTAGCCTGGAACTCTCAGATTCCTCAGGAACTGGATAAAATTATCATGCAGGTGGAAGTATAAAAGCATATAAATATCAAAATCTTTACAGGGAAAAAATTAATTTGAAGCATGAATTCAAACATGAAAGTCCTGCTCACCAGAGGTAACCTCACGATCCATGTCAGGATGGTGAGAAGGGTAACGAACAATGGACTTTATATTCTCTGAGTACATTCTACATTATAAAAAACAACTCAGTCCAGAAGAGATCATTAATAAAGATGAACAAATGTGTGATTTTATAAAAAAGAGTTTCTCTAAACTGATCCAAACTGTTTCAAGCAACTCTCTGAATGTGATGAAAAATTAGAATCTCATTTCTGAAGCGATGAGAAAAGAATTGTTTGAATTTTGACCACCCAATCAAAGTTATTCATAATGAAGTTCACAATGAATTGCAAGAACCATGATATTCAAACTATGACTGGTTAATAACAGAATGTTCTAGAGTCTACAACATATCCCCCCACTCTAACTATATAGCTAAAGATTTCCTCTAAACCTAAAATACGGCACAAAATATTTCAAATATGCTACTTCATCAAGCCTCAGGTTTTCACCAGGTATATAAAGTCTTACAACTATCACAAATAAATACAATTCTAGTTCTACATGAACCCTCCTTTCTTTCATGACTTCAGCCTTCCAGATAACAAACTTCTCCCCATGATACTACAAATTTCTGCAGGCATATGCTGCAGGAAACAAAAGATAGTGGCATAAACAACATATCGTTGACAACTAAAATATTAACAGATTTTTTACTAAATCCTGTCAAAACCTAAGTAAACAATCAACATTTTCCTTGGATTGAATTATAAATCGAAATGAAATTTTCACTGTTCTATGGAGAACGAGGCCTTGTGCCAGCTATACAAATTGATGACAAATCTATATTTTGATATATACTAGGAACAAGAGGACAGCTAATATCCGTTCATCGTGACCTTATCAAATACTTGATCAAGTTTCCAAAATTAACATCTGTCAACAGTTATAATAATTCAGCTCAAATCTGTAAACTTGTCCATATGATGATAGTCATATGTTTCATTTGGTAACATATGATCTCAATCTTAAAACTTTCTACATTCTTGAGATCATTTATGGAATAGTTATAAAAAATAAGCAACACATCAATTTTATAAGGCAATGCAGTTTTACAGAAGGCAATGCACACTCAGAGTAATAAACCATGCAAAAAAAAGAAAGAAATTGACCTGTCAATGATTTTTGTTTTTTCCCTATATGGCTTCACCAACACACGGGCTCCACATATGTAATGGGGATTTCTCTTCATAAGAATCATGTTGACAGTCTCAGGATGGACAAAGCTGACAAACCCAAACATACGTTTGTCTTGGCAAGGAATCCTAACATCACGCACTTGACCATATTGCCTGAAAAGAAGCTGCCAGTGAGAAATAGCATTGATGGAGTCATTCAGAATGTTCAATGTGCTTGCTATTAAATTACTTAAAATAGTTGGAAACATCATCTTCGGTGAATGTGCTTTCTGCTGGGAATGTAAGATAAATCTGGTGTGAACTAGAAACCGTTGAACATAAATCATTTCTCTCATTCCTGCACTCCATATATCTGGGAGCGTCTTCTGCTAGAATCACCGAATGCTGACCATGAGGTCTGTCATTAAGACATCCAAGAATAAGACAAAGAGGCAAACAGTTGGAGAATGCAGTGTAGATGAGCAAATATAATTGCAGTACCTCTCAATTAGCCGGATGCTCTTCCTCAAGTGGGAAAGCAACTTTGTCAAGTTGAAGCCAGACTTCCCATGCCGCTGGCTCTCCGTAAGATAACCCTCAGCCTGGAGGTTCTTTCCATACTTCTCATAGTATAACATGGGCAATGAGGCAATAGAAACAGGCACTCCTCTCCTTGATCTCAAAATCCCTGTGATCTCCATTTCTAGGTTCTCAAGTGACTTAGGCGTGTACACATGGTCCTCATTTGCATAATCAGTCAGGTTGGAGCTAAATGCATGAGAGTAACCATCTGGAAAGGACTGGGCATGAGAGTATCTGCAGTTCATCCCATGTTTGCAGTAACCTTTGTTGAAATAATGGCAAGCCTTGGTAGGTAAATCTGACAGGCTGTGTGATCTCCTGCCCGTCCTTGAAGCCATGCCACCACCGAATGCAGTAGCTTCTGGGTGGTAGTAGTAGTTGTTGATGTGGTTCACAGCATCCAGTTGCTCCATCGGTTGAGATTGACTTTGAAGTGAGTTCCTGTCCCCAATCGAATCAGTGTTGTATGGTCGCGGAACAAAATCAAAGTTGTGGGATGGGCATTGCTGTTCAGAAGAAAGCTGAGGATCCCAATAAGGTGCTGGGATGTGAAAATTGATGGGAGAGGAGAAGGTGTGCGATACAGAGGGAGGGTAAGAACCAATTTGCATGTCGGACATGGAGTTCTTGGGAGAGAACATGCCTAGCATGTTCTTGGCATCACTGATCTTAGAGAGCAACATTGTGTCAGGGCCGAATGCCAATTGCATCATTTCTTGCTCACTAGGCTCCTTCAGGAAAATACATCCCATGATCTTCACAACATTCTCAGGTTCCAGCTTTTGGACCCTACCGAAGATGATCTTGGCCAATTCGAAGAAATCCATACTATAAAATCTAGTCTCTGTGCATGCCAAAAAAAAGCAAAAACAAACATCTTTAAGGGAAAATAAAAGGGAAAAGGATTTTTCTAGCTCTGCAAAAAGACATCTTCAACAGGTAAAAGACATGGTATGAAGAGGAAAATCTGAACTATGAAGAAAGCAAAGCTCATTTCGTTAAGAAAATTATTGTTCATTATCAATGGATAGATAATTCACAACATACCCATTACATTCTTAGGCCTATCATCATGAATTACAACATAAGAAGGCAATATAGGATGCCACAGGCCAAAATGCAAGGCCATAACCTACATTTAGGATTGACTCCACGGCCATTTCAGGTGATATGTTAGTATGACAGATCATGACCTAGAACTATGAAACAGTGAGAAACCAAACAAATCTCTCTACCGCAACAAGAAACAGCGCATTCCCATAAAAGAGAAAGAAAGAGGAGGAGGAAGAAGAAGAAACCATTCACAAGTGAGAAAGCTGACAACTTGTTCTTCTTCCTCAATTACCAGACAAAAGGGACAGCGTACCTCCTCCCTCCATGTCACAGCATCATGGACAGAAGAAGAGACTCTGAACCTGCCTTCCCCAAACCCTCCGATACCAATTCCCAGTTCCGCTCCTCGACATTCACATTCTCTGGTTGGCTCGTCTATTTGTATACGGCGTACAGGTTGGCCGGCTGTTCTGGTCCTCACAGCAAATCTGGGTGCTAGATTTAGTCGCGCTCCCGTGACACCGCCACTCTCCCAAATGACAGAACATAATCCATATATGTAATGACATGCTGCAGGGGCATTATGGTCATTAAAGTTGCTCCGTTATTAGGGTGACCGGTTCCACCGGCTACGAACCGGGGATTGGCGCTAACGGGGTGAGGTGGAAATCCCGGGCCGTTATCGTGTCCCGTTAGAACAGGCCATTTCCGTTACGATCGCCCTCCTATCCTTTATGACTCCATTATCTATAGTTTCGTGTACATACATTCATATATATATATACACGCGGCTCTCTTACGTACCGACACGTGGGCTCCACATATCAGGCACAGGGTGGGGAGATTAAAAGAGTATGAAATGGGAGTAATTAATGTCTCTGAACTATTAACATAAGATACTGACTCATCTAACCTTATAAACTACACAGCCTCTTCTCACTTCAGGTCTTAATTATGGTTATTCTTGTGTCAGATTTGTTTGTTGATATGAAGATGTCAATCATGTATTGGAATACCAAATGTTAATATATGAGTAGAGAGAGAGAGAGAGAGAGAGAGAGAGAGAGAGAGAGAGAGAGAGAGAGAGGTAG